AATGTCAATTTACCATCTTCGACGCCAATCTGGTACTTTACATGGTCGCCAATGAGATCGAGACTCTTTCTACAGTGTGTTGGTGAAGATCTACATTTGTAAAACATATTGAACTAATCTGATGAATTTATCACTTAATTAATGATAGATTTATTACTGATTTGTTTAATATGTTGTGGACTGCTACTACTGGAATTTTGATATTAATACAATGATAAATTTATCACTGATTTTTGTTCATGTTATATTTATCACCTCTCTTCCTCACTTCCTCTCTCTCTCTTTTTATTTCTCTTAAACCAAAAATCTACTATATCAGTGATAAATGTCTCACTGATATATTTCTTTGAATCTTGTGTTGATTTGTGATGATGATGACGAGATTTTTTTTTTTTTTTTTTTTTTTTGGTAATCTTTTAACAAACAACTAGTGAGAAATTTATCATTGAATGTGTTTATCACTACTAAATTTATTGCTTTTGTTTTTTAATCTTGTGTTAATTTGTGACGATAATGATGAGATTTTCTTTTTGTAATTTTTTAACAAACAATCGGTGATAAATTTATCATTTTTGTCACTAGAGAGATGAATATGCAGTATGATTAATCTATCAGTGATAAATTTATCATTGATTTGTTGAATATGCTATATATTGTTACTGATTTTTTATATTTATACAGTGATGAATTTATCACTGATTTGTCATTGTAGATGTGAATATGTTGGATGAGTCAATCTATCAGTGATAAATTTATCACTGGAAAGAAGACAAAAAGCATATGGTAAAGGCATGGTTATGTTGATCTACGACACGAAGGCTAACAATTTTCTACTAATGCCTTTCCTTTTCCTTTGCCCATCTCTCTCTCTCTCTCTCTCTCTCTCTCTCTCTCTCTCTCATTCTTCTTCTTCTTCTCCTCCTGTCGCCATCAGATCTTAGGAGACAGTGGCAGCAGTGAGCGCCGGAGGTTGCCGGAGTTGATCATCAGAGGTTACTGAAGGTTATCACCAGCAGTTGGAAGTACTTGTCGATGGCTAGAAGTGGAAGGTGGTCACGGAAGTGATTTGATGATTGAGTTGTTGAAGGAGGTGTAGGAATGGTATTTTGGAGATATTGAGAGGTGAAAAAATGAGTAGAACTTACAGGTAAATAAATCTAGTCAATAGAGCCGACCCATAAGTCCCCCTAAAATATAATATAAGATGGGGATGGTCTTATGATTTGACATCAGGGGCGGAGGCAGCATGTGACCAGGGGGGTCACGTGCCCCCCTTAGATTTTGGATTTTTTTTTTTTTTGCAAAAATAAAAAAAAATTAAATAAAAAATTACAAAAATATTATTATAGTGAAATGTCAATGACATTTTAAAAATTATGAGAACAATAATAGTTGTTTTGATTGAAAATGAAGAAACTATTATAAATCATATTATTTATGAAAATTTTATGAAAAATTTTGAATGTAACGGTGATGTCATTATTATTGACATGCAAGTATAAGTATTCTCACTATAAAGATATGAAATTTATTAGATTATTAGTTACATTTGACATGTGAGGTTCACTCTCTATATGTTTATTTACTATTAGTTGGTGATATCACATACTAATGATGACCTGGTATGACCATTATATTGAATTTTTATTTAAATTTTGTATAAAAAAATAATTTATCATTATATAATTTATTTTAAGACTTATATCTATATTTTTTTATATTTTCCATGATACACTAGTTATAAATAACATTCTCTTTTTGATGTTTCTCAAAATCAATCGTTAAAACTTGTGTGAAATATTTTTATAAAATTTTTTGATATTGTAATTAATAAGTACCCCCTCTAATTTGATTTTCTAACACCGTCACTGGTCTCAGAGGTAGGGTCAATGGGTCGGCCCATGAGCCCAATCTGATGGTCTTTCGAAGATCGACTCATAGACCCATTCAATAAGTTTGTATTAGGCTCGTATACACTAAATAATTTATACTATTCTTTTCCGTCATTTTTGGACTTTTTATGTATGCAAGCATTTTTAATATATAAATTTTTTTTAAAAAAAGATTAAAATTGAAAAACTAAATAAGTAGCATGCAAACTATGAAATTAGTAACTACATTTTTAGGAGGTTAAAAATTCATACGATGTGATAACATAGGAAATAAAGTTTATTTTTTTATGCAATTCTAATTGCTGGAATTAATGCACTTCTAAGTTTTGTATTATAATTGTTTTTTTCAATGAATTTGGAATTTAATAAAACAAAAGTCTGAATTAAAGTCCTAATTAAGCTAATATGAGCTCTGGCAAACCCAAAACCCTAAACTCATATTCTTAAGTCTATGTGTAGAGCCTCGACTTTAGAAATGTAGGATGATCATCTTATGCTCGACTTGTTGATTAGTGAAAATTCATATAGTGGTGTTACATATACTAATTAATATACATACTAGTGTATCAACTAATGTTATGTCATTATTACTGAGTACTGACCTCACATATTATACAAATTATAAATACTCAAATTGTCTAAAATTATGTCACATCATTTATTAATATACTAATTAGTCTATTAATATTATTCAAATTCATAAGCATAGACCTATGGCTAGACAGGGCAACTGAACCTATTGTCTAAGCTTGGAACTATAAATTGATGATTGTGGTGAGGGCGATTTGTTTTGAGAGATTTCTAATGCTCTTTAACCTTACTCGTCATTTTGATATACATTGAAAATTGTGCTCTTACATAATGCATGCGTAGAAAAACTAAAAGGGTATAACAAGAGCAACAATGTTGCACATGTACGCAGATAAATAGGAAAATATGTATATAAAATAGTCAAGTAATTACCTCTTTCAATTATTACTTGTTAAAAAATCTAATAATAATGTTCAATTATTAATTAATCTAAAATCGGATATTAGATCTTTTTCTTTTCAATTTCTATCTCACAATTTAACCATACAAAGATACATATCGCACTCTCTCTTTATTTTGTATAAGAAGTCACGAAAAAAACAGATAGTCTTAGGAGAAATACTATAATGTGTGTTAATAATTGGAGAGAAAGAAAGAGCTTAGGTCTTGTTGTTAGAACTAATTAATAATTGGAGACAACTATTAGATTATGTAATAATTAAAAAGTAACAGAGGTAAACACTTAACGATTTTATTTACGCATTTGATTATCTATATATATGATGGGGTTATAAGAACTAATGGTTAAATATATGGATTACCTTAATAATGTTAATAATAGAGGAAAATAATTCATAAAATTATAAACGAAACAAACTTGTTCAAAAATAAAAATTATCGATGTCGAGAAAAAATAAATAAATAACAAAAGCAACCCCCTTCAAATTTCAAATCCTCTGGATTTTATATATTTATTTTGGTTAATTTTGCTTTTACAATTTCATGGATTAGGTCCCCACTTTGCATTAATGTGATTAAATTCTCTATTTATCTAGTTTTCTCATCTCTAAAAAAATCTTTTCCTCCTACTTCAGCAAATTAATTTTATTCTCTTATAAGTCTAGAGAAAATTATGTAAAAACATTCATCTAATTTGAAATATTTCATAAATGTCTGATTATGTTACCTAATTATGTAACTCAAATAATAAACTAGTCAAAATTAACATATAATTATTTTATTTTTTAGATAAACACGCTATTGGATGAGACATAACTAAGCATATTTTATTTTATATTAAAATATAAAGTACACTAACATTATAGTTTTATTTTAATATCTAAAAAAGATATTTATTTATTTTAGTTAAATGTTTATATAGTAGGTAGTGTGTGGATTTAGTTTGGCATGATGAATTAGATTTTACAAAGAATATATGAATTCCATAGTTCAGCTAAAAATAATTAGGCCTTGTTTGGGAATAAGTTATTTTAATAATTTTTTAATTTTTTAGTTAAAATATGAGGTAAAAAAATTAGTATGTTTGGAATGACTTTTTAATTTTTTTCCGAAAAGATGTTTAAAAAGTAGAGAGAAAAGTGAATCTTTGACTTTTTTGTATAGATTATATACTTTTTAATTTTTTTGTAACTTTTTGACTTTTAAGCAAAAACATTCATATATCAAGCGAGGCCTTAGTATTCAAAAAATAATTTTACTGAAGAAACTAATGCAGTCGCTGAATCCTAAACTATATTTCACAATGCACCAACAAAATTATAATTATGTCAAAACAAATGTTAGAATTTGACAACAATTTTAGAAAGCCGCCAAATGAAACCTATTGCAACTACATTTTAGTTGTTTTAGCACAATCTTTGGTGGCAAGAATTTTCACACGTTATGCCAGGATATGGGGTTCTTTGGCGCGAATATTTTACACCAATAAAATTATAATGCCAAAAGGAAGGTTAGGATTTGGCAACAATTTTAAATAGTCGCCAAATGAGAAACTATACCGACTATATTTTAGTTGTTTTAGTACAATCTTTGATTATGAAAAGTATTCCCACGTTATGCCCGTGCATGCAAAAACGACAGAGATTTTTTTGTTTTTTTTTTTTTTTTTGTGCCCTTTTGGCGCACAGCAGTACCTGCTGTACAGTAGGCACCCCTTTCCCGATATGAGGTTCTTGGCGTGAAACTTTTAGCAACTACGTCTTTATTTTGTCCGTCAATTATGATACTTTTATTAACTAAAGTTTACTGCTTAATCTTATATTTTCAACGAGATGACAAATATATTTTTTATAATAAATAAGGGCAAATATGTGAAAATAGTATTTTGGCAAGTGCAATTATATTATTGCCAAAACCTTTTGCAAATGTTTTTAAACCAAACGGTCCAAACACAAATTAATAAAATCTGAGGCATTAAATAATAAGGCTTCAGCCAATTCATCAATAATCAATAATAATAAAGAAAAATATGCGTGATTTTACAAAACTACCCCTTATTTAGTCCATTCGAATTTTCTGACCGTTGGGACCCGTTGGGCGACACAAGTTAACGGTTATGCAACATTTTCGAAAAAAGAAACTCCCACTCTCAGACACCATCACTTTTTTCCTTCAAATTGAGAAAACCCAAAAAAAAACAGACACAAAGTGCAAATCTCAACCCAAATCAATGGGCTGTGCATCTTCCAAACTCTTCAGGAAAGATCTCAGACAAGAGCTTGTGTTTGGCAATGGTGATTCCACCAACCATGTTGTCTCTCTCACTTCAAGCACTTATGGTGTTCTCAAACTTGACAAAGATCAACAACAACAACAACAACAACCCGTTTTGATTGAGTCGAAGAAGAGATCGCCGACTCGCGAAGAACCCGAAGTCATAAACGCTTGGGAGCTCATGGAGGATCTCGAAGAAGAAGCACCCATTTCGATTCAATCCAAGAAAAGCCCGAATTCGAGGGGTTTTCTTCGTGGGTTTGCGGATTTGGATACTAGAAGTCCCTTGAAGTTCTTGAATCAGATGGCTTCGCCGAAGAAATTGAAGAGATTTGGAGGGAAAAACACACAAGTGTAGTCAAAAACAGATATCATGAGTTCGAGTCAAGTTCTCTAAATCCAATTGGAGAGATTTGGCGGGAAAGAGAATAAGGGGATTGTTAATCGGTTCAATGGCGTGGTGGGTCGATGGGATTATAGCCCGAAAAGGACTTTGACAGAGAATTCGAAAAAAGCATCGCCAAATTTGAGAATTCCAGTCAAAGGGTCTGCAACTGATGTGAAATCTGATGATTTGAGGATTGAATCAGGGGTTTTGTCACGAAGAAGGAGTTTAGGTCCCATGTTTGATCCAGAACTCGTAGCGTCTTTCGAGAAAGTACTCTCCGAAGAAGAAGAACAGATCAAGAACATGGTCTCTGTAACACCCAGTTCAAGAAAGGCAAGAGTTTTTAGAGATTGTGAGCCTATTCTCAATTTATCAGAGAAAAAATGCGTGCCGGGTAGTGAAAATACCGTGGTTGTATACACGACGACGCTTCGAGGAATTAGGAAGACATTCGAGGATTGCAACAAAGTCAGATCAATCATCGAATCGCACCTTGTTCAGATGTTCGAGCGCGACGTGTCGATGGACTCGGGGTTCAAGGAGGAACTGAGGGGACTAATGGGGACAAAGGAAGTGAAAGTCCCACTTGTGTTTGTGAAAGGGAGGTTAATAGGAGGAGCTGATGAAATTGTGAGGTTGGAGGAGGAGGGCAAATTGGGAATTTTGTTCGACGGGATTCCGAGGGCGTCAGCTGTGTGCGACGGGTGTGCCGGGATCCGGTTTGTGATGTGTTTGGATTGCAGTGGGAGTTGTAAGGTGTTGGGTGAGGATGGTAAGAAGACAGTGAAGTGTGGAGAGTGCAATGAGAATGGATTGATCCAATGCCCTATTTGCTGTTGATTATAACTTAACAGCAATGCTACGAATCACGAAAAAAAAAAAAAAAAATTACGAAATTGTGCCCTACTGCCTGCTATAATTTTGTGACAGATTTGGTAAAACAATTTTCGTGACTCGTAGACTTATTGCTAAGTTAAACTTGTTGGGTTGACTTCAGGCTGACTTGGGTTGTTGGGTTTTATAGTTTTTAAAAGTGGGGTTTCTAAAGTGTGTTTTGGTCCCCCTTTGTGTGTCTGCTGTTGTTTTGAGTGGATATGCCTTTGTATCTTTTGGATATTGGTTTGTTCAATTGATTCTATTTATCTTCATAGTCGAGAAATATGACAAGGCAATTGAAATGTTGCAAGCCAAACTCTCACAAAACATTGTGAACTTGTTCAAATTTGATGATTGAATATGTTTTGTTTTGGAAAAGCTAAGCATCAGTAAAATACACCAAAAAGTGTATAGATTTAGCCTCTGTTTGGCAAGATGGTTTTCAAGCTTTTTTGGCTATTTTAGCCACAAAAAACAAAATAGGCTATTTTAACCATAACAAACAAAACATCACATCCAACCCATAATCATTACATTCTTCTCTCACAAAAAAGCCAAAAAAGCCAAAAAGCCAAAAAGTCCTTCCCAAACCAAGCTTTTTAGCCTAGGCTAAAATAGCCAAAAAAACCAAAAAGCCAAAAAGCCAACCCACTTCCCAAACGGAGGCTAAATTTAATGTGATGTGGATCACATTTAAAATGAATCTTATTCATACATTTCATCTTCTATTTTTTTTTTTTTTTTTGGATCAGTAGCAATTGGTGGTTTTGTTTAATTTCTATGAAAATATTATTTGAAACTGGATGTAGATTTGTTATTTGTCCAGCAGTTGAGTTAGTTAGGTATTCACACCATTAAAGTGAAGATTCAGTAAGCATTGTTTGGGAAGGACTAAAGTAACTATTTTAGTCACAAAAGATAAAATATTCTATTTTAATCACAAAAAACAAAACATCACATCCAATTCATAATCATTACACTATTCTCTCACAAAAAAAGTCAAAAAATCTTTCACAAACCAAACTTTTTAGCCTAGGCTAAAATAGCTAAAAAAACTAAAAAATCAACCAACTTCGCAAACGGGGAAATAAAACATACAAAAAATATATAGCTAATATAATGTATGATTAAAATTCATTATGGATGGGATGTGAGTCATCCATAAAATAAATCGTAAGACCTCGTTTGGAAACCCTCCATTTTAGTCAAAAAGTTATTAAATTAGCCAAAAAACTAACAATCTATATCAAAAAGTCAAAAATTCTCTTTTCTCTCTACTTTTTGTACATCTTTTCGTAAAAAGTCAAAAAGTCATCCCAAATATATTAGTTTTTTTTAGCTCATATTTTAGCCAAATAACTAAAAAATTATTAAATTAACCTTGTATTTTATTTCTATGAACTTAGCACTCTCACATGTTGAAAAAACAAAAAAACAAAAAAAAATTGTACTTGACACTCGTATGCAAATGGTCTTTACTCGTACTTTACTCAAATTGAGTAGGAGCTTGAGGTTTTGTTTTGCAAAGTCAAATTGGGACTAAAAAAAATATAAAAGATAAAATAAATTTAATAAGATAAAATGTTGCATTTAAATCATAATTAATTTATTTTTATTTTCACAAAAGTAAAAAAATCAACCTACATGAATTTTTTAATCCCAAACTAAAAAAGTCTAAACTCAAAAAAATCAATTAAAATTATTTTTACCAAACCACAACTGTGAAAAAGATTCATTTGAGGTGAAACATTCTAATGAATAAATTCAAATTTAAGTAAATTTGGCAACAACAATGATTCATCCCACTAAAAATATCACCACTAATAGCACTAATGCATTAAAAAAGTAAAAAAATAAATAAATAAATACAACTCCAAAACAAAAACATCACATCATTAATAGCGGGACCCATTGCCACCTAATTAGTGGGAGCACTAATTTGTGCTCCCAAGCATTTTTCATTTGGCAAGTGTCAAAGTGGAATGGAAGCTTAGTGAAATGCTTGGGTAGAAGTGTCAAGGGTTAAGTTTGGACTGTACAAAAATTTAAGTAAAAATTTGAATAAAGTTCAATTTGCTATGAATTCGTGTAAAGGATGATGAAAAGTGATTTAAATTTAAGTTTTGAGTCTATATTTGAGTGAGAGTTGGAGATATCATTGAGATACTAGTTAATAAAAAAAGGTTAATTAGTCCCATTTATATGAAATTATGAGTCTTATTTCAATAATTTCTTTTTTTTAACCAAAATCCTTAAACATTAAAAAAAATTAAAAAATTGATGAATAACTAATGAGTTAAAAAGGCTTAACCACATATGATAGGTTACCTTTGGTGATACTAGATAACATGGTCACTTAACTATGGTAAGTTGCCAACTTACACTAGGTACGGTCCGTCGAAATCTTGAAAACTTATCCTGCTAACCTTGTATGTAATTGCCTGGATAACTGGTTCCAAAAAAGTTGAACCTAAGACATTCGGTATAATACTCAAATCTTTGCACTCAACTAAATCCCTTAAGTAATAAAATGGCTTAATCATAGATGGGTGATCTCTATGGCTAGGTCCTAAGAAACGAGACATCAGAGAATATAGTTAAGTGATATATGGACTTTTTTGAGAAGATGGTTTATGTGTTTTTTTGGCTATTTTAGTCACAAAAGACAAAATAGGCTATTTTAGTCACAACAAACAAAACATCATATCCAACCCATAATCATTACTCTTCTCTCACAAAAAAAAGTCAAAAAAATCAAAAAATTCTTCCCAAACCAAACTTTTTAGTCCAGGTTAAAATGGTCAAAAAGTCAACCCACTTTCCAAACGAAACCATTATACAGTAGAATCACTTAAACAAGTAACAACAAGTGTAAATTCACACACAGGCAAAAATTTAAATCTACATTACTAACAGTAAGTACAATTCAAACAAATTAAAAAAATTAACCCTACTAATCATATGTGCTATTGTCTAAATAACTCACACCTAATACCTTGGGATTTATACCCTCAAAATGCTTGAGATCTCTTTTTTTTGGAAACCCCCATAATCCTTTGGATTTCAACCATTGATGTATGCATGAGGTCTACACCATCAATGGTTGAGATCTAAAAGGGGTTGTGGGGGTCCCAAAAAAAAGGGTCTAAATCATTGTTGATTTATACCCAAAGGCTTAGTCAATCGGAATTGGGGTCACTACTGTGCTAAAAGCATAACAGTGACTGTTATGGCTCAATTTGAAGTGCATTATGGGTTTATTTTTATGATCTTAACCGATCATTTTGTAAGTTTTGTTGAGTACTTCATGCCTCCCAAAAATTATATTAATTGGATATCAATAACTATAAGATAGGTAACTAAAAAAATAAACAATAAGTTTTTTTTTTGAGAAATAGTATAAAAAATATGCAATTCGATCATATAGTTATTGATATTCGATTAATATAATTTTTGGTAGGTATGAAATACTCAATAAATCTTACAAAATGAACGGTTCAGATTATAAAAATAAGTTCATAATGTGCCTCAAATTGAGACACAATCACTACTATGTCTTTAGCACAAGGCACAACAATGACCCTATTACCTAGTCGACCACGAGCAAGGATCCTCTACAGTTTTTTTTTCCTAAAATTTCCTAGAGTGGTGCATTGTGTGGCTGAGATTTAATGACAAGTCACATCAATTTTTCAGCATTAAATCTCAACCACACAATACACCATTTTAAGAAACTTTAGAAAAAAAACACCTTGGTGGTCTACCACACCCTTGGGTTAGGAAATGTTTGGTACATTCCAGGGTTTTCCAATTCCGGAAATTAGGGAAAACAAGATTTTACGGTAGATTGTTTTTTTTTTCCTGAAATTAGGGTAAATAAGATTTTACGGTAGATTGTTTTTTTTTTCCTATAATTAGTAACACTAATGATCTCTTTTCTCTCTACTTTTTGTACATCTTTTCGTAAAAAGTCAAAAAGTCATCCCAAATATATTAGTTTTTTTTAGCTCATATTTTAGCCAAATAACTAAAAAATTATTAAATTAACCTTGTATTTTATTTCTATGAACTTAGCACTCTCACATGTTGAAAAAACAAAAAAACAAAAAAAATTGCACTGGACACTCGTATGCAAATGGTCTTAGTGTTGGTATTCTCCTAACTTCACTCGTACTTTACTCAAATTGAGTAGGAGCTTGAGGTTTTGTTTTGCAAAGTCAAATTGGGACTAAAAAAGTACAAAAGATAAAATAAATTTAATAAGATAAAATGTTGCATTTAAATCATAATTAATTTATTTTTATTTTCACAAAAGTAAAAAAATCAACCTACATGAATTTTTTAATCCCAAACTAAAAAAGTCTAAACTCAAAAAAATCAATTAAAATTTTTTTTACCAAACCACAACTGTGAAAAAGATTCATTTGAGGTGAAACATTCTAACGAATAAATTCAAATTCAAGTAAATTTGGCAAGTGTCAAGGGCTAAGTTTGGACTGTACATAAATTTAAGTATAAATTTGAATAAAATTCAATTTGCTATGAATTCGAGTAAAGGATGATGAAAAGTGATTTAAATTTAAGTTTTGAGTCTATATTTGAGTGAGAGTTGGAGATATCATTGAGATACTAGTTAATAAAAAAAGGTTAATTAGTCCCATTTATATGAAATTATGAGTCTTATTTCAATAATTTCTTTTTTTTAACCAAAATCCTTAAACATTAAAAAATAAATAAAAATTGATGAATAACTAATGAGTTAAAAAGGCTTAACCACATATGATAGGTTACCTTTGGTGATACTAGATAACATGGTCATTTAACTATGTAATGGTAAGTTGCCAACTTACACTAGGTCCGGTCCGTCCAAATCTTGAAAACTTATCCTACTAACCGTGTATGTAGTTGCTTGGATAACTAGTTCCAAAAAAGTTAAACCTAAGACATTCGGTATAATACTCAAATCTTTGCACTCAACTAAATCCCTTAAGTAATCAAATGGCTTAATCATAGAGGGGTGATCTCTATGGCTAGGTCCTAAGAAACGAGACATCAGAGATTATAGTTAGGTGATATATGGGCTGTTTTGGGAAGATGGTTTATGGGCTTTTTTTGCTATTTTATCCACAAAAGACAAATTAGACTATTTTAGCCACAACAAACAAAACATCATATCCAACCCATAATCATTACACTCTTCTCTCACAAAAAAAAATCAAAAAAGCCAAAAAACTCTTTCCAAACCAAACCTTTTAGCCCAGGCTAAAATGGTCAAAAAACCAACCCACTTCCCAAACGAAGCCATTATACAGTAGAATCACTTAAACATGTAACAGCAAGTGTAAACTCACACACAGGCAAAAATTTAAATCTACATTACTAACAGTAAGTACAATTCAGACAAATTAAAAAAATTAACCCTACTAATCATATGTGCTATTGTCTAAATAACTCACACCTAATACCTTGGGATTTATACCTCAAAAATGCTTGAGACCTCCTTTTTTTGGAAACCCCCACAATCCTTTGGATTTCAACCATTGATGTATGTATGGGGTCTACACCATCAATGGTTGAGATCTAAAAGGGATTGTGGAGGTCTCAAAAAAAGGGTCTAAATCATTGTTGATTTATACCCAAAGGCTTAGTCAATCGGAATTGGGGTCACTACTGTGCTAAAAGCACAATAGTGACTGTTATGGCTCAATTTGAAGTGCATTATGAGTTTATTTTTATAATCTTAACCGATCATTTTGTAAGTTTTGTTGAGTACTTCATGCCTACCAAAAATTATATTAATTAGATATCAATAACTATATAATAGGTAATTAAAAAAATAAACAATAAGTTTTTCTTTTGAGAAATAGCATAAAAAATATACAATTTAATCATATAGTTATTGATATTCGATTAATATGATTTTTTGTAGGTATGAAATACTCAATAAACCTTACAAAATTAACAGTTCAAATCATAAAAATAAGTTCATAATGTTCCTCAAATTGAGACACAATAATCACTGCCATGCCTTTAGCCCAAGGCACAGCAATGACCCTATTACCTAGTCGACCACACCCTTGGGTTAGGAAATGTTTGGTACATTCCAGGGTTTTCCAATTCCGGAAATTAGGGTAAATAAGATTTTACGGTAGATTGTTTGTTTTTTCCTGAAATTAGGGTAAATAAGATTTTACGGTAGATTGATTTTTTTTCCTATAATTAGTAACACTAATGAACTCGACAGACCACATTACACGTTTGGATACCAATCGCTAAACTTCAAATCCAACAACCAATAACCACTTGCCACGCCAACAAACCAAATCCAGATCAAAGCACATTCACCCATCACCCTTACAACATCATGACGTGGCAAGCAATTACACGTTCCATTCTTTTCACACATATGGTCCCAACAACACCCAATAAAAACTTGCGTTTACACGTGTCGTGGTAACAGTTTAGGAGGCTCTCATTCTCACAGGTTGACAGCGGTCGTTGCCACCATCTAGCCTCTCTCTCTCTCTCTCTCTCTCTCTAACCCATCTGGTTAGGCGTCATGGCTGGGAAGAAAAGGAGGAAAGTGAAACTGTGAGTTCTATATCCATGTATATCTCAATTTTGCTATTCATTTTGTATTGATTTCAATTGATTGTTTTTGGGTTCTTCACATCAGATCAATCTAGGGTTTTTATAATTCCGTATCATAGAGTGTTTTCCAGTGATTTTTTGCTTTGGATCTTTTGTATTGGGTTGAAAGCTGAATAGTTTTGTGGGTCTTTTCTCTTTCACTTCCCCTTACTTTCATTTGAATTTTGCAATCTTACAAGTGTATGTTTAGTTGGGTCAAGTGTATATGTGACCTGGACTGGGTTAGCCAGAAAAAGGTGAGATTCAACAGAATTGTTAATGTAGGACTAAATTCAGTTTCTGGGTAGTTTAGGCTTGGGCTGTTTGAGAGTTACGTTTGATTAATTGGGATTTCTCACTTGATAATTTTGGGGGTTTTGCTAATTATGTCTACTCAATTGTTTTCTGTTTTTCGCTATTGAACATGTGATCAATTTTGGGTTGGAAAGAAAAGATTGAGATTCATTTTTGTTGATGGTGTTGGATTGAGTTTGATCATGGCCTCTTTCAGTGTTTGATCAATTTTTATCTAATTGGATCATTTTCAGAGTCGTCACTAGGTTTTATTAGTGGTCAGTCTCGATTCTGTTACTTTTAGGTTGTTATAGCTATTTTTAGCATCGTAGCTGGGATTCTATGTGCACTTATGGTAAAAGCAATTTTAAGTGTTTGGAAAGTGATTAACACACTACTACACTTTTAATGGGAGCATTTTTTATTTTTTTTTTGTATTTGTATTGCTGCCCATAGCTTTGACTTATTGAGGGTTTTGTTGTCGGTTACTGCATGTAAACTCATTACTAATATCACCTACCAAGTTTGTTGTTTTAAATCACAACTAATCAGAATTGTATGTTTGTAGATTAAGTGAAACGATCATGGATGGCGAAAGAGATATGACTAGGGAGAAGGAAGTGCAGGGAGAGCAACAAACCTGGTCTGAGCTCCCAACAGAACTTTTGGAACTGATTATGTCCCACTTAACCTTAAAGGAAAATATTTGTGCTTCTGCGGTGTGCAAGAGATGGTTCTCGATTGCTGTCTCAGTCCAAGTGGTGAATCAACCCCCATGGATTATGTACTTTCCAAAATTTGGTGACTTGTATGAATTCTATGACCCGGCACAGCGCAAGTCTTATTCCCTTGAATTACCACAGTTGCACGGATCAAGGGTTTGTTATACTAAAGATGGTTGGTTGCTTCTATACAGACCCCAAACACACCGTGTTTTCTTCTTCAATCCCTTTACTCAGGAATTGATCAAATTGCCGAAATTTGAGATGACTTACCAGATAGTTGCCTTCTCTTCTGCTCCAACTTCTCCGGGATGTATTGTTTTTACAGTAAAGCATATCAGTCCCACAGTTGTTGCTATTAGCACCTGTCATCCCGGGGCAATGGAGTGGACCACTGTTAATTACCATAATCGCTTGCCATTTGTCAGCAGTATTTGGAATAAGCTGGTTTTCTGCAACGGGCTCTTTTATTGTCTGAGTCTTACTGGTTGGCTCGGGGTTTTTGATACGCAAGAGCGTACATGGATTATCCGTGTTGTGCCTCCCCCTAAATGCCCTGTGAACTTTTATGCCAAAAATTGGTGGAAGGGCAAGTTTATGGTGGAGCATGAGGGAGATATTTTTGTTATATACACTTGTTGCAGTGAAAACCCTATTGTATTTAAGCTAGATCAGACAAACAAAGTGTGGGAAGAAATGAAAAGCCTTGGTGGTGTGACCTTTTTTGCGAGCTTCTTGTCATCCCAAGCAAGAATAGACCTTTTGGGAATAATGAGAAACAGTATCTACTTCTCTAAAGTTCGTTTCTATGGAAAGAATTGCATATCATACTCTCTTGATGAGCGCAGGTACTATCCCCGTAAGCAATGTCATGATTGGGGAGAACAAGATCCATTTGAGAGCATTTGGATTGAACCACCTCAAGACCGCTCAACCCTCGTTTAAAGAAGGCTTAGGATGGAGGTGAGAATGTTCAAGTGAGTTACTCTCTGTTGTCTATTAGTTATCTTGTTTTATTGTAATTGCATTGGGTAGGTTGTCATTGGCAGTTTCGTACAAGAAATTGCACTGGTAGTCCCTTTTAGTCTTGGAAAATCCTCATTATTATGTTCTCTTCTTGCTCTTATTTATTTCTAGCTAGCCGGAAAACCAGATTGAGACAAGTTGTGCTCTAGTTCTGGATGTTTTGAATTCTGAATTTTTTATGTAGTGACTGTTGACCATTGATCTTGCTCTTTTTTCCATTTTTCCAAGCACCTAATTTACTTGCAATCATGTCAACTTTCATACTGCTGCTCTTTTTTTCTTTGGGTAGTTTTTGTTATGTTTTTATTATTTTGGTAGAGATTATGACATATATATATATATACATATACATATATCACACCAGGTCAGCCTACAATCTCATCAATAGCTGTATAACAGTTGTTTGTTGTGTTGGCCACAATATCCATTATTAAAAGAAAACAGGAAGTATTGGAGATGAATAGAGCACTTGGCATAAACTAGCACTTAATTCTCTGCCAAATGAAACCTTATATCATATATGTCGTGCCAATCGACATTCAAATTTTTTTATGATATCCAAAAGGGAAAGCTGGATGGAAATATGCTGTGTCATATGCAAACTTCTCCATTGTTTTTGTCTTATTTAAAAGCAGGGTAAGTAGTTATCAATCTGTAGGATTGTTCATTGATAACCAAAAGGAAAAGCTCTGACCAACTCCTAACCTAGATGATACTCTGTAGTAGGATGTGAAGCTTCCATATTTTTTTTAGTAATTATTTTAATGCCAAGTTTCCTTTAAGAAGCAGGGCTCATTGCTATCAACCTGTAGTGTTATCTGCTCCTGAATGCCAAACTTAGTGCACCGAATTGGCCTTTAGTTACTTGTTGAATCCAAAAGAATTATCTCAAATTTTTCCTTCAGATAACCAACAGTATGAATTGTAACTGATCTGTTTAGATCTGAATGGTAACTGATCTATTTAGATATCAGAACCTTACCATAGTGACATTTGTGAGCATTACAGTTTGCAGCAAGCAAGTTGTGACATCAAATCATGGACATGGAAAAGCATGTCAAAGTAAGTTGCGATGCTCATCACATGTTGGATTCACTTGGTTGCATGTCTTAGGCTGGCAACAAGCCAAGGCCACTGACAGCAGCATGTCCTCAGAAGGCTGCAGTGTGTTTTCTAATTGATGGAAACAAGCACAGGCTGTTTCAGTGGTTTATTCTCAATTAAGTGTTGCTCAATGGCAAGGCATTGACACATGCTTTAATGCACTGCACTTCTGGACGCTTGTTTGATTGCTATGTGGCCTTGCAAGCTTTTTATGTGTGGATAGCATTGGCAATAGGCACATTTCCTGGCATGACATTCAAGTGTCTCTGTGTCACTGGTGCAAGACTGCAAGGGAACAATGGTAATGGAAGAATTTACTTGGAGATGTTTTGGAAATTCATGGTGCTTGACTACTCAAGGGGTAATTAGGCAATTGGCATGAGTCTGAGGTTTTCTACTGGGAGGAAAACAACATAATGAGCAATAGCTGTGATGATAGACAGATTGGAATTTAAGTTGTAGAGATTAGGATGGATATGCTGCAGAGGAACTTCTTGTGGGGGAGTTTTGGGAAAGGAGTTCAAATATCATCTTAAGTTCTAGCAGCGAGTGGCCGGGGCCTTTGCCATTTTTGTCAGCTCAATCAAGCCTTTTTGGAATAGTGGCTATGAAGATATGTTGACGAAGAGCTATCAAGCATGGGTACTTCGAAAAACATGCCGTACCCGTACCGGGTACTTACCGGCGTACCGTACCTCGTATGGTACTTCTGCATACGTACCGGGTACACGAAACACGTACCCAAGTTTTTTCTTCTTAATTTTTGACGTACCCAGACGTACCGAGTATATATTCAAGCCGTACCGTACCTCAGTTTTTATTTTATGCTTAGCATGATTTTAAAATTAAACAATGGTTTGTAAGTTGTTTAATATATTAACATTTAATTTTGATTTATACTTTTCCTTTTGACATTAAATGTTAATTATAGGTTGGACCTTAACAAATTAAACAATTTAATTAATTTTTGCATTACTCTAAATTAAAAATAAATATTTTTTTACAAACGTACCAAGCCGTACCCGTAACCTATTTTTTTTGAATTTTACTGTATCGACGTACCCGTATCGTACCAGTACCAGTACCCGTACCCGTACCCGTGCTTCATAGACGAAGAGGAACAGTTATTATGGAAAAGGGTGATTGATTGCAAGTAAGGGTGGAACTAGGTAGAGACGGGGCAAAACACCCCATAACCTTGAAAATCCCTTTTATGTACAGTATAATTACTCAATAGCAAGCAAGATGAGTTTTGCCTGTGACCCCCCTCCATTTATTTAAGCTATTTGTATAGGCTATAGCATATATGTTTCCAATTATAGCATAACCTATACAGTTGTCTATTTAGGCTACATGTGACTGGTGTAAGACTATATATACTTGTGTAATCCATTGAATGCATCAATGGAGTAGAGAACAACAACACTACTAATTCTTTTTCAATCTTTATCTTCCCATCTCCACTTTACTTATCAATCTTTTATTTGTCATACATAAAATCATCTTATGTTCTCTTTCAATCTCAATCATACTAGCCATTCACAGGTTCTCCCCACCAACTCTTAAATTGTTTTTATTGTCTCGCACAATCTATCAATGAGAGATACTCATTTTCTTCTTTTTTCCCTCAAACTCATATTTCTTATCTCTATTCTGTATTTGCAATTCTGACTTTTGAGCTCCCCAGCCTTCTATGTTTGAGATCGAGTCCCTCTCTTCTTACCAGGTTACACTATATCTATGTGTTTAAATTTATATGTATATGTTTACTTGCATGTATTTATAGATCAATAGATTGTCGTGTTATATTCTGTTTGATTAATAGCGGACTCTTCTGATGTGATTTGAGGTCTGATGCATAAGGATTCATTTTGAAGTGCCTGTTTTCCTCGAGAATAGGTTCAGGTTTTGGTATGTGTTTGCATGGCTGTTTTTTTCTGGTTAAACTTATCTGGGTAGCCTAGGAATTGATTACTTGTTAAATTTATCGTGCGAAGTTGATTGTTAATAGTGCCTAGTATCACACATAAAATCTCCAATTGATTCATGAAATTAGGGGTTTGAGTTCATATGACTTAAATTTGGCTTTATGAAAGATTTTTTAAAGCTTGATTATTATTTTCTTCATACTTTTAATAATAAGAAAGCTGGCAATTTAAATACCTATATATTTACCATATCTAGACTCCCTACAACAAAATTCTAGTCCCGCAGTGATAGCAAGTTACATCAAACGAAGTTCAAAATCAGTATGCGGTGGCATTGGAAAACCCATTAGGAAGGGATGTCTAGACTTTCTCAAACATTTGCGTTTTGAGCTAGGTGATTGTTGGAGGATTCAATTTTGGCATGATTTTTAGTGCTAGGATATTTTTTTATCAGCGACATTTCTAGAATTGTATATTGTTGTTGTAAATAAGGATGCCTTGGTTGCCATTGAGTCTCTACTTCTAAGACGATGTGGGAACCTCCTTTCCTGAAATCTCTCCAAAGACTGGAAATTGGAGGTCATGGATGGGTTCCTTGAACTCCTTTATAGGTGATGGTTTGTATAAATAAGGGATAAAAAGAGGTGGAGTCACAAAAATGGAACTTTGTCAGCTAAATCCTTTCCTTTTGAAGATCAATTGATAATCTAGAATTCCAAAAGTGGTATTTTTCTGTTTGGACAGCCATGTTAGGTTCCGTCCTTACCAATGATAATTTAGTGAAAAGAGTTTGCAGATTACCTTACTAGAATTGCTTATTTTGTAAAGTAGAGGAGATGATGGACCACTTGTTGATTCACAGTGATGTTGCCGAGGAATTATGCAACTTGTTATCCATTGGGTTCAATGGGCGATGTCAGGCCTTGTTTGGAAGCTTTTAGAATGTTGGGGTAAATGGATGTAGGGTGAAGAGGAAGAAGAAAGCTTGATATATATATATACATTGTTGAACTCATTTTCTAACCGCTTAAATTTTTGGGACAAGTGGTGATCTAACATATTAAATTGCCATGGGTAGAAGAACTCAACTGAAAAAAGCTAGCTATTTGAGGTGAAGTTGCCATCAAGCTAATATATTGCACATTACTTTCACCCACCTCACGTGCTATAACATGTTATACGGCCTTGAGTAGAACTCAACTCCAAAAGCAAGCTATTGAGGTAAGGTTGCCCTCAAGCTTGTATACTGCACATTACTTTCATACCCACCTCATGCGCTAACATGTTACACAGTCTTGGATAAAACTCAACTCCAAAAGCTATAGCTATTGAGGTGAGGTTTTTCTCAAGCTTATATATTGCGCAATGCACATTACTTTCATACCCACCTTACACGCAATGTGCTCACTCGGCAGCATCAACAATGTAGTAGGACCTTGCTTCATACTCTTCCTCACACGCAATGTGCTCACTCTACAGCATGTGCTGCGTGTAGGCCAAGAACACACACCATACCCATTCTTGGATACTCCAGCTCTGATATTTCATGATCAATGGCTGAAAGAGCCACATGTACAAATCTTTATTTTAACTTTTTTAAACTCAAAAACGGGTAAGAGAGGTTTTTAAGCTCATAATGATGTGGCATTCATAAACTATTGATTTTGGGTTTCAATGTTGTGTTACAACCTTATGCCTTGAAATGAAGAACCCTATTTCCCACCAGAAATGGAGTGGATCATCTTCATCTCAACTGTCTTTCTTTACCCATTTAAGCAAGCTGTCTTCTTGATAGAATCTATTACTGATTGTTGTTGCATTTATTTTCTTGCTAGAGTGCTTCTATTTCAAAAAGTTCTTGGCTAGTTTGATTTATCTTGAGCAATTCCATTTCTCAGGTCCATTTCTCCAAAGAGCAGTTTGAAAGTAGTCTAATGATTGTACTTCTCACCCGGAGCATTTCCGGCCCCAAAAATCTGAATTATTTTAGCTCCATAGAAGCAGCATCCCGACAAGGAAGCCGATTCACTTCAGGAAGCTTGGCTCAGTGAAATTCCATATACTGGGGACCAAAGGAGTTGCATCTTTACTTCAGCATTGGCATCTGAAGTTCTGAGGCTTTCCAGATCCATGGAAACAACTATGGTACAACGCATGAGTTCAAGCCCCAGCAATGTATTGTATCTCAAAATAGTTCCAAAATAAAACTTTTAAGATCAGATCTGTTTAGTGCTATTCTTGTTGCTATGTGTAGTTGAATGTAGTTGTTGACTAGATGACATGTAAACCGTTACTCCTCCTTTGAGGACTCCTCTCATGTTTGTCATTGGTTCAGTAAGGTATATCATTTATCTCTAGGTATAAGGACATAAGGCTGTCTTCAGAATTCAAATTGCCATAGCACATCTACTTTTCAATTTAGCAATAACAAATATAATACTGTGTTGTTTGCTCAGTTAGATTATTTATGGAAGGGGTATATGAAATTTTACTAGGTTATGTTTGGATGACAAGAATCGGGAATTCTATTACTACAAATCCCATTACTGGTAATAAAATTTGTGTCAGTTCAATTTAAGTGATTGATTTGGTTAGGAATTTACAAAAAATGACATATAATTTTATATATAGATATGAGTCCATTTACTAGTTTTATTCTTAAATAGGAATGTGATTTTTTTGTTGGAGATGTGAGCAAAGGATTCTCCCAACCGAGGATTCAACGCAACCAGCCATCTCGTTCATGTAAACATTTACCCGAAATCTCACTGATCAAATTTCATCGTGGAAATACCATTTTTCTTGAAAAACAAACACAAATTTTTTGTTGCTCAAATTGGGAATTACATTCTTGTCCTCAGATGTCACAATGTAATGAATGAGATATAAAATAAAATTCTCATTCCGCCACTTCTTTCCTGCCATCCAAACGACCTATAACTACATAACCATAACCCATTAAACACAGGAACAGCAAATCTGGTGATTTGTGCCTTTGTCCAATGAACAAAAGGATGAAAGCTAAAAACGAAAATATCCAACCATGGATTTAGCTAGGATAATTATTTTGGATGTGTTTTGTAAGCAATTATTATGTAAAAAAAATTGATGAGCAATTATCCTTCTTTATTTAGATAATAACATATCATAAAACTTTCAAGTGCATTAATCTTTTACTGAATAGGGGGAAATGAGAGAAAACTATCCGAAATGTAGAATAATTTTTAAACATATTAAACAGAGAGATTCAACTTCTGAAGACAATTATAATGAAAATTGGCTCAGCCAGTTGCATGGAAAGTAGAATTCACTGGTGCAATCTCAAACAAGCATCACAAATCTATATATATATATATATATAGAGAGAGAGAGAGAGAGAGAGAGACAGAATCATGAATACATCTTGTTAGACAAATCTCTCAAACAACGTATAATGATAAGAATTCAGGACAATTTACAAAAGATAAGTCTAAAGCTTTTGTTGGCAAACATGGGGAGTACTGAGAGTTGGAAGTAAAAGGAATTAACAGAAGCAATAAAGCACTACCCTCATTTATCTTTCTTGTCCGGTAATTGCATCTGCCGAGCAATGCAAATATATTAGTAGGGGTTATACCGGCTACGCCCACCATGTCCCCTGTCACTGCTACGTCTTCCACCACTCCGGCTTCCTCCGCTACTGCCACCACTCCTGCCACTTCTCTGCTGTGGTGGTGGACTGCTGTATGGCTGTGCTCCTGGCTGTTGACTACAGTAACAGACAGGCAAGGTTAATTCTTAAAAAGACATGAGATGATCCATAATAATAATGATAATGACGACGACAACGACGACGACAAAGATGATAATAATGACGGAGAAGCAGAATCAAACGAATTAACTTACAAGACATATCCAATCCTTCCATCTGGCAAAAGCATCGGCATCATTGGCATGCCACCAGGAGGAGGTCCCCTTCCGTAGATCGGTGGCTGCAAAACAGTGGCATCAATATCAGCAACCACAACTGAAGAAACAAAGCTAGACCTAGCAGGTTTAAAAGGAATGGACTCATATGCTAAGCCTTTCTTTGTTGTTCTTACAAATATGCAGACATATATGTCGTTGGGGAGTGAGTGTTGTAGATACAAATATGCGGGACATAAATGTCATGGGAGAGTTGTGTTTGTAGATACAACACTTCTAAGGTGGTTTGCCCGTTTCAGTCTCTCATCCAAATATGTTCTATTATTTTTTAAGACCTGAACATGTTTCGGACAATTTGTTGGGACATGTGTCCATCATTTAGACACATATGAAACAACTTTAAATAAAATCACTTGATATACATTGATAAAAGGAAAAATAATGTAGATTTATATACATTAATAATCCATCTTCCTTTAAACTTTAAGAATTAGTGTTACGTTGCATTTTTTAATAATCTTTGAATGAAATATTCATATATATGACATGCAATAAATATATAAAACTATATATTTTAAATCTCCCCCACATGTTGTATCTTGTATTTTTTGAACATTGCTAAGTTGGCATGTCCGTAACGTGTCAGGTCGTGTTTTCAAGTTCATACTTCTTAGATTATATGTTCATTTATCATTTATGTAGCATAACAGAACAAAGTCAACCAGTTCAAGTTGTGACAATAAAAGTGGCACATCATTGACATTGTATATTTGGCACCTATTGTGCAATAACTATTGGGAAAAGATTGCATTACTCAATACTGATCCCTGTTAGTTGAGAGTGCAGGGAGAGTGGATAGATATTATATATATATATATATAAATTCTTTCAAATGAAACTGGGCATCTTACTTGTCCAAAACCTGCAGCGCCATATCCTGCACCCAGAGCGCCATAGGCACCCCCAACCAAACCATAACCAAGACCGGGTGGGTATCTTGGAAGTAGGGCCGACTTCTGTGAATTTGAAGCTCCAGAGGACTTCTGATCAGTCAGCTGTGGCTTCGCAAGAGAGCACTCCAAAACTTGACCTGTCAAATGAAATTGAAAAAACAAAAAACATCATTGCACATGATGGTTCAGACAATGTAGGTTGCTGGAAGTGGACTAGGTACCAGCATAAGATGCAAGTGGTATCTTCAGACTTGAGCCTCGAGCACAATCTCTATATCTTATTCATCAACAAGAATTATTGAAAATCACATGAAAAAGGAAACAGTTTTACCATCTATCTCATATTTCTCAGTGTTCTTTAGAGCCTTCAATGCATTTGACCTTTCCGCAAAGTGAACAAAACCGTATCTGTTCTTCTCATGGCCTGCTTTAGCCGGAGGGAGAACAACTTTTGTGATCTTTCCATGATATTCAAACAGTTCTCTTAGCTGATCCTGGGTAATGTTTTTGGGCAAATTCTTCACATAAACTGCTTTAACCTGTATGAGAAAGCCGGAGGTATCATATTTGAAGAACAGATGACCTACGATTCCATACCCATTCAGTATCATATTTATTATTTGATGATTTTCAAACACATCTAACATCAATATATATTGTTACTTTATACAAAAGAAAACAAATTCAGCTCAGTTGCAGGTGACTTTTTAGACAAACTAACCAAATTACACAAAAGAACAAAGTTATTAAGGGCAACAAACATTTGTTATTGATTCTCAGCATCAAATAACAGCAGATATACATAATTGTCGACATGCAACAGTTATCAGCTGTCACCATCTATGTAAAAGCAAAAACACAAACGTGTCAGTGACAAGTTGCCTAATATTAATACAGAATATCCAATAGGACAAAACTGCCTTTGGAGAAACATATTTGAAAAGTAAACAAAAAAGAAAATATGAGGAAGTATTGCAATATAGCCAGAGAAGAGCTCGCCAGCAAAAGAAGACAATATAGAACAGTCCACAATCCATAAGTAAACTACACACCCTTTAAGAAATTGTCCAAACAACTAAATCTGTGGACATGTATGCAAACACATCAATTATTGTTAAACGAATAAATACCAAGGTGAAAGTTAAAAATTAAGTGCAAAGCACCTGTGAAGTAGCTGAAGAATCCACATTTTTCGGGTCAGCCCAACTTACAGTTGGAGCATTATCATCAAGCTTAAATTCTGGTTTTGACATGTTTTGTCTTGAATACTCTGCACAAGCATGGTTATAATACTCAACAAACGCAAATCCACGGTTGCGGGTGGGGTTTTGTGGGTCCTGTAATAGTAAAGAAGATAGATTAAGAGAAAGTCAGTAGAATGATAATGAATAGAAAGTTAAATAGATATTAGTACATTGCAGTACATTTTTGGATAAATGAATAAAACATGGTATAAAAAATAAAATATTGGGGAACACAAACCTTCAGCAGCTCCACAGCAATAACTCCAGGTCCTATCTTAGTTACGACCTTCTTCATATTCTCCTCTCCCCAGTTTCTTGGAACATTACCAATGAACAATTTATGCTTTGCTTGAGAAGTTGAACACTTGATCTTTTTTCCCTGAGAAAGAAAAAAATTTGATGAAAGGTTAACGCTACGGTGGGCATTCACAGCCTCTGAAAAACAGCAACATGCTCAGGTCATCAAACTAACCGTCAAAACAAATCATGGCTGTATATAAACATCAAAGAAACATTCTATTTGCTTTACCTTCAGTTCTGTATTATTAAGCTCCTTAATAGCCTTAGAAGCAAATTCCTTTGTTCTGAAGGTGACAAAGGCGTAACCCTTGTTCTCGCTTGAGTCCTTTTCCTTCATTATTCGGACCTGTTAAGGCATATAGAATAATGTGTTGTTTAAACTCCACAAAAAACGTGCATCCATATATATAAAGGCATGTATCATACCTCTACGACTTCACCAACCGATTCACAAAAGTTCCTTAGATCCTCTTCAGAAGCATCTTGTGGAATGCCACCCAAGTATACCTCCGACCCATGAGGAGGTAGTGCAAGAAGCTCAGCATGCTTTTTTTCCACATCCCCTTCAGCGTCAGCAGGTTTCATGTCCTCATCACCATCTGAGCCTTTTTGCACATCAGCCCCATCAGCAGCAGTATCCTCTTCCCCGTCTTCCTCTTCCTCTTCGTCTTCCTCTTCCTCCACCTCCTCTTCAACCTCTTCCTCTTCATCTTCCTCTACTTCCTCTTCTACTTCTACTTCTTCATACTCAACCTCCTCCTCTACTGTCTCCTCAAGATCATTGTCTCCATCAAAGTCCACCCTCTCCTCCGAATCATCACGCTTTTCAGGTTCAGTTGGCTTCTCAGGTTCATCTGACTTAGCTGCTGCTGCCCTTGCTCTTGTCCTCGGCATCTTATGGATCTAATAAGGTAAGCTTGCACAGCAACTGTGATGGAAGCACAGAAGCCAGAAGCATTTGCAGAAAACAGAATAATATGGGCAGGTGGAGAAAAAATGAAAGGGCAAAAGGAGTTCCAGAGTAAGAATCTTGACTGAATCTGTGCCATGATATATGGCTCCAAGGAGTAGCAATTTGAATAATTTTCAAATAAGGGGATCATAAAATAGTAGCAATACCAATAGAACAAGCAAGAGAGAATTCTGAATGATAATCAAGAGGATGATGATACTCAACAGGTGCAAAATCAATGAAGCAATGAGTTCCCGAAATTTGAATATCGATTGATGCCGGAAAAATAATGGCCAATTTTTACTGTTTAACTATCATGCAGAAAGACAATCCAAGGCAACAGCAAAACAAAAAACAAGAAAATGTCTCCAGACAGCAACTAAATGGGTTTGGTTTGGTCGTCAAGAAATAGTCCTGTCCAATCCCAAAAAACAAATGTCCCAATTGGTAACCTTCCTGCAGTAAGTTAATGAATAGGAACTGAGAATGTAGAGACCAATTACTAATCCTAAAGAAACTAAAATTATCAGTGGTCAATAACATAATTGATTGATACCAATTCTATTAGCTCTTGTGTACAGAACTGTGGCATGCTGGATAACAAGCACTTTAGTTCACATTTTCAACAAAGAAAGGTTAGGTCAGTTTTTTCTTTTAAAGTTCAGCCATGCTTTAAAATGGTTCAAAAAAACTCCTCAAATTTTCAAACTCAGGAAAGAGACTTCGGCGCTATCAATTTCCTGTTTAAGTTATCAATTACTTTACTATTTTAAAAATTTTGCATTTGCCAAATTAAAATTATATAGAAAGAGTAAAGTAAAGCATTACAAATTAGAAAAATTACATTTCTAGGCCAACCTTAACAGCTGAATATCTACTATCCATTCATGTTGCAGCAACATACATATACTAGTAGAAATCAACAGAAAAAGGAATAAAAGGCCCACCCAGTATGAGATTTCAAACATTAGATTGACGACCAAGGAAACATACAAGAATATTGTGTTAAACACTCATTATATTTTCTCTCCCTTCTTTTAGACCATTAATAAGGGAAAAAAACCTGACTCCGCTCCTCTTTATGATGGCATGCCAACATTTAACCATTTTGCTATAATGACTTTGGCCAATTTTAAAATTTATAAAATGTTGCAAGATACACCCTCAACAAGGGACGGAAAGCGGGTCTGGTTCGTGAGTAGGTGCTTCTTCCTCTGAGCTACCATTACCAAGCTCTGTCTGCCCAGGTGTAGAAGTGCCATATACAAATATGTATCAGCAATTATGCAATGAGCTTCACAATATCTAGGTCAAAACATACTATAAAAAAGCCAATACTCTTAAGGCAATGTTGCAAGGACCTTCGACCATTACAGTGCACGCACTGTGAAGAGGACAGTGATATGCTGCAGATGATCAGATGTGTTACATCCAAGGTAGGATTATATATCATATAGTAGGAATATTGTTCAACTTCTATAGGAAGTAGTTTGAACTAATTCTATCTATCATAAATTGAGCTCTTACTACGTTGTTTGTATAAGAATTCCACTCGTAATTGTTGATGTTTGGCTTTATAATTAGAAAAACTTGGACAACATTAGAAGCAAATTTCCGAGTTGCCAAATTGGACAAAACAAAAGTGCTCCATGTTTTGGAATGTGTTTCAAAATGGAGATTGCTAGAAAGAATTAGCAAATTCTAGTAATGCCACATCAAGGCAGGACACAACCAGCAGTACAAAATTGAAGAAATGGAAACTTGGGACTTGGAGTGCCTTAATAAAATGCAAAATTGAGCGTCCATCATGGTGAATACACAAATTCAAAAGCTCACATGGATGATGCAACATAAATTAAGATTGACAAGTTATTAATTATGGGGAAAGCAACACATGCAAAATTATTATTTAACAACTAAGTAGCTAAAATAAGAGCCAAGTTGATTCAACATTTTAAAAGGCAATCAACCTTTTGGCTCTGTTTTGATGAGTGGATTTAAAATGAAGGAACTTGAGCTTAAATTTATTAAATTGTAGATTGATAACACATCAGACTGTTTTCAAGTCCCTTTAAACTGTTCTGGATTAACAATTAAAGCTTAGCTTCAACCAACATCCGTAGTTTGCAAAGTTCGCATACCAAACAATCAATTAAGATCTTTAAATAGGTTTTGGTTTTCTGATTGTCACCAAAAAAAAATCAAAAAAGTGTAATATTTAGGTTGAGGTTGGAGATGCTCAATCCAGGCTAGTCCCTAATTAAATTAAAAATCTTATTGACATAAAGTCAGCTTAGAAACAACAATCAACAACTGCAGATTAACTAACAATGGGATTTTTTTTCATACATGTAAAATCTCAGAAGAAAGGAATTAAACACGCCCAATGATAAGTATCAAATGAACATAAAAATAAAATAAAAAAATAAACAATAAATACAACACACAATACCAATGATATTAGGATCAAACCTTAGTATTGGCCAGTAATATAGTCCCTAAATGCAATCAAACAAATAGTGCGATAGATCGAAAGAGAAAGAAAGAGGAGTGAAACTCACCGGAAAAAGGCTGGCCTGACCGGAGAACCACCGTGATCGCTGAGGCTGAGGGAGGGAGGCAGACTGGTAGAGAGCCGAGAGCAGTAAGGGGGCGCCGTGTGAGAGAGAGCGAGAGAGAGAACCGAGATGTGATAGAAACCCTAGGGGCATATATGTAATTTACTACACGGGTGAGCTCGCCCCGGCTCGAATCCAATGGGAGATCCAAATTCTACCACCGGGTATATGTGCCTGTTTGGCAGAATTTAAAAGCAGCTTATTTCAGCTTTCAGCTTAATTTAAGTTATTTTGATGTGTTTGGTTTAGCTTATAGCTTATAGCTTATAGTTTTTTGGAAGTCAGAAATCAGCTTATTCTTTGAGTGGGGCAGGAGATGCTTAATTTATAACTCAGAAATCAGTTTATGTTCTTAGTTATAAGCTATAAGCTGTTTAGGCATAAGCTATAAGCACTTTCCCACAGCTCTACTAAACAGGACCTATATCATGGTGGGTCCTTATCGGGTCGGAGTTAACATGGTATCATTCACTTTGATTGGTTCCTATTTTTTAAAAATAATTTTTAGAAAATTCTACACTCTTATTTTTCGTGTTTTTTTGTTTTTACTGAATTTTTTAAATATTTTATGCAAATTTTTTACTTTTTAGACGCACCTAACATTAATACACCTAAAAAGTAAAAAAATTGTAAAAAAAAATCTTTTAAAAATTCACAAAATACCAAAAATATAAAAAAAAATACAAGAATTTAGTACATTTTTTGTATTTTTATGTATTTCTTAATTTTTTAAAATATTTTTTCACAATTTTGCTGTATCTAAAAAAGTAAAAAAAATGTTTAAAATTTAAAAAATATTCACTAAAAATTAAAAAAAAAACACGAAAATCAAAAAATTTACTTTTCAAAAAATTTAATCCAAACCCAAACCAAACACAGTGATTTTTTTCTTTTTTTTTCTTTTTTCAAAAACCAAATTTGATCTTTTGTGTCAAATTAAATCTTAAAGTTGTTAATTTTATTAGTAGTAATTTAAATCCATAATTAAAATAGAGTGTTGCTATTAACACTCCATAAATTATTTTAGACCTCTTAATTTTTAACTTTTTTATTACAATAATAACTTCAAATAAAATTACTACAAAATACATTATTAATTTTAGAACACATCTTCTCACAATTAAACTTACACACCCACTATATCATGAATTATAATTTATGAGAACACCCACCTCCATCACCACCCATCAATCTTTTCTAAATCTCACCTTCAAAACCTACCCACCCTCAAAATCTTGAAAACCCTTTGACGACAATATTCTGGCGGTAAGGGTGGCAACGGTGGCAACCATTTGATTACCTATACTTCTTCGATATTGACAATGAGTGAAATTTTTTCTGACAACCACAACTCCATAAGATGAGCAGAGTATAACAATAAAAGCTTAGAGGAGGTTAATAACTTTGACGTTATTCATAGCTCAGAAGAGATTGGCCTTGTAAAGATAAGTTTCTTGAAAAAAAATGGCAAAAATAATAAAATCTGCTCGTCATTTTTTTGAGACTAAACTCCCAAATATATGATCGAAATTCAAGAACACAGGCCTAAACGTTATTTATTTGTTCGGAAATCAGTAACCAAACATTTATTATTTGTTCGGAAACAAATAACCAAGCATTAGTCATAGGTTCGGACCTGTTTTACTGAAAAAACTAAGAAATTATGCGTATATATATAGAGAGAGAAAGAGAGCATACCAACTGTGACAATGGTGAATGAGGTAATAAAGACAGTAATCACATTATCTCTTCTTCCTCTTCTTCTTCGTGGGCTTTGTTAAGACTTTTTTAGAAATGAGATTTTTTTTTGGTGCGGTGTATGGAGGGTGTTTATTTAATGAATTTAATGTTTTTTTAAGGATAATTTTGATATAATTTTGGGGAGGAAAGAAATTTTAAGGATTTCAAAAATTATAAGTGAAAGTCTTAAAGGATCCAAATAATTCATGGGGTACTATTAGCACCACTCTTAAAATATTCTTCCGTTTTCATCTCAATAGAGTTGAGAGTTGTTTTAAAAATTAGTTATTTTAAGGTTTTTATTTTTCACGATTAGGCTTTTTAACTATTGTTGGTTTTAATTTGACATAATATTGCTCATAATTGTTGGCACCATAAAATATTATTATTATTATTTTCAAGACACGTTGCATCCTCTTATTTATTTGGAAGTTAAAAAAAGTTATAGAGATGATGGAGAATATAAAGGACAAAGTGAATGAGTGGAAGGACACATGGCAAGACAAGAATGAAGATAGAAGAAATTGGTAGTTACTAAGTAGTTATTACTCTATTTTTTCCTCTATAAATAGTCATTAATGGCTACATTGTAAAGGATCCAGAATTCATAATCAAAGACAATTGATTTCAATATTTATTGTCATTTTCCTTATCTTAGAAGTAGTTTAACATAGATTTATATTTCGAAGTATTTATTTTCAACATTTATATTTCGAAACATTTTATGCACTTCCTTTTCGAAGCATAGGAATAGAGGTAAGTAATTATTACTTTGATTGTTCACTTAATCGTCTTTCTCTGTCCCTCTTTCTTCTTTTACTTTTTTTTTCTCTACACTTGACAATTTTGAAGTTCTTTTCGTTGAGGCAAAAAAATCATCAACACAATCGCTTGATAATTGGCTTGAATTTAATCTATAAAGATTTTTCAATCCTTGCTGACCCGCTCACATTTATGATATTTTCTTTCGTAAGAAAAATAAGCCAACAATATTGTAATATTTTCTTACCAATTAAAAAAATCACTTCACCTTGTCATCAATCTTTTGTAAGACCTCTTGCACGACTACAGTTTCCTTTGGCTATCCCAATTAAGACTAAAAAAAGTATAAAAGATAAAATAAATTAAATAAGTTAATAAGATAAAATGTAACGTCTAAATCATAATTATTTTATTTTTTATCTCACAAAAATAAAAAAATAAAAAATTCAAACGAAATTTTTAATTCTAAGTTAAAAAAATCTTAACTTCAAGAAGTCAACTAAAGAATTTTTTTTTTTTATCAAAGGACAACTAATTTTATTTTGGTAACCTTTTCTTAGTGGTGCAAGGGTCTTGTAGTTTCAACCCTAAACTAATAAAATAGTTTCATACTTATGAAAATACAAATACACTAGATTCGTACAAAGTGAGATATACCTTATTAATTCCTTTTTTTTTTTTTTTGCTTCACTTTTTGAATCTGTACCTAAAACAAGCACTTGTTTTAGGCAAGAGCTAGGCTTCATTTTTTTTTTCAGAGGGTGAGCTAGGCTTCATTTTGGATAGCTTATAAGCCAATTTGCTTAAAAAAACTATAGGTCATTTGTCATACTAAAGAACTAAAAATATGTCAAACAAACTTTTTTTAAACACTAATTTGTAGCTTATAAGAGTACCAAAGGACAGTAAGCTAGTTTTAGCCAAATAACTAGAGTCACAGCCTGTGACTCAAGTGCTAACTTATAAGAAAAATGCTTGGTGACCTAAATTTGTATGACCCAAATGACTCGAATGTGTCAAAACCAAAACGACGTCGTTTTAAAACATTCGAGTCATAAAAATTCAGACTACCTAACATTGTTGAACTTATAATCAAACTCAGTATGATGCTACATGAAATCTTTGAAGATGAGCCAACAACTGATGTATGGTTACTTCAAGATGTTAGCACATATTACATTCATTAATTTCATCAAAAAATCAGCATCCACAGCTGACCATTCATTTATAAACTATATCAAGCACCAGTTCCAACTAGGGGTATATACAATGTGATTCAAACAGTTTGAGAATAAAGTTATAAACCGAATGACAAATTAACAAACAGATGAATTAAAAAATTACAATTTGAGCAATTTTGAACGGATTGGCAAATTAAAAACATTTTAACCAATTATCAAGCCTTTACATAATATATAACACTAATTTATATAATATTTTTCATATATATAACATAAACTAATTTTATATAATATTTTTCATATATATATATATAACTTCTACTTTGTAATAAATTTTGCATACCCACATTTTTATTTTGATATTTCATTATAGATTAAAATATATATATATTGATTATAATGAAACAGAACAGTTTCAAAAACAAATTATAAATTTTAAAGTTTAAACCACGATTAAAGTTATAGAGCGACGTAGATTAATGCGAATTAATACAGTTTTAACAGATTGAAAAGTATTTTGTAGTCCTAGTTCCAACAATAAAGTTTAAAAAAACTAGATATTCATTACTGAAGAAAAAAAAAACTAAACAAAAACATGGAGAAGAATACCGCGACACCACCCAACTTTACTAATAATGCACCAGACGACAAACTCAAACACAAAAGACCTAATACAATACCAAAAACTAGGAGATGACTTGGTTCATGATTTACGCTGCTCACTTCTTTGCATAACAGGAGCTATGGTGTGGTGCGCTTGTACTTCATCAGATAAACAAGTGCTTATATTCCCCATTTGCAAGTTGGCAAAGTTGATTGTAGTTGTACATGTCTACAAAAGAGCGAAAAAGGAAAGTCCTTTAGAAGCAAAACCACAAAAATTCTCACAAAATTGAGAAAAATAAAAGAATATTAAATTACAATCCACTATAAGATAAATATATCAATTAATAGTAACTTCAATACAAATGGCACGAAATGGTAACGTAAAAGGCCAACCACTCAAGCAGCTCCCTAGTACCCATAAGAATGGAATTTGTTAATGTGTATTCTTAGGGCACGTGTGAAGAAGCTTAAAAGGCTTGTACAAAAGTGTTTGCAACAAAAAATGCATAATATATTTTAAGCAGTCTTAACATGTGCTCTAAGGGCAAACATTAAAAGCATGAGTCTTTGGGAATTGCTTAGGCCAAGTTAAGTAAATCTGGGCTACCACAAGATCCTAAGAAAAATTAAATTAGTTCCCTTCTGGAACATAAAATCAGTAGGGAATGGACTTAAATAGAGTAGAGATCATACCAAAGGTATCACCAAAGTTGTTCCATATTTCAGCACGGATGGATTGATTACTTTCGGCAATACCAATCACCTCAACATAAGTAGTAAGAGAAAAGGGAGGTGAGCCTTTTACAACCAACTGTTTTTCATCTGTAGATTTCCCAATAACAGCACCATTATCAGATTGAACAAACTGAATAACAGCACGAACTTTTCGTCCCACATACATGTGCAGCAGCTCTGCATTTACAAAGACTGCAGGGTTCGATGTATCCATATCCTTCAAAAATAAACAAATAAATAAATAAAATAGGCACAATGTCTCAAAACTTAAGGTAATGGTTGGCTGGTGAAAAAGGAAGAAAATCAAAGAATAAAAGATCAATGTCCATAAAATAAAATCAAGATATTCTGCTGTGTCATGTGGGACAAAAATATAACAAGAGACATTCAAGGGCTTGAGTTGTACTGTAAAGGCACTTTGGTTTCAGTTTGAAGAAACACTTCACCAAGGCATTCTAATGCCTTCTTGTCTAACGCCTCTTTGCTTACTAGGCTGTAGTCAGAAGTAATCCACTTCTAGGTTTCATTCAACTCATTTGGGTTGAAGGCAATATATCAGAAATTCACAGTGCAGAACATAACAGCAACTTTATCACTCCAAAGAAGCTATAGAATTGGTGAAGGCCTTCATTTTAGCAGCTCCCAACACTGTACAGTACGAGAAGCTATTCTGACCCAAAATTGAATCAGAAAGTATTTTTTTGATATGACATTTTTTAAAGGTGGATATACAAAAAAATCCATCAGCATTTGTTGTACAAGACATCTTCACCGGTAGGGCTGCCCTTGAGTTTTTTGGGGCCCTAGGCGAACTTTCAAATTGGGCCCTCTATACATAATAATAAAACAAACAAACAATTGAGGTGAATTCTGCATGATAAAGTGGGAAAAACTTAGCAGGAGATAGCAGAAAGCAACCATCCTGATTCCAATGCCACCAAATACAGTACTACTACCTCAGATTTGAGGTGGCAATAATAGGCCTTGGATGGACTTTAATTCTTTTTACTACTCTTCGACTTCAATGTGTTCACTGTGAAGCAACCAGGAAGTTATCATGTCTAGCTCTATAATTCTAAACAAGAGAAGCGTCTGTTTTGGTGCCCAAGCCTTTCCAAGTAGATTTATGCATTTTTGAGAAACCAATGCTGGGTGCTGATTCCGTATACTCTGTCCAATTCTACCACAGTTGCATGCCCATTTTGCTAATGCTCTATTTGGTTCATTGGAATGAAGCTTTGCCAGGAAGCTTATACTTGTTGAAGCTTTTTCCTATACTATAGTTGCAAGTCTATTATTGTGTTTTGGAATTAGGGGAAGCCGTGATAGCAGTTCTTGGAATGGTCATTCCTAAAGCTCTACTACGGAATGATCATTCCCTTATAATGTTAAATGATAATTCCATTTACAATGTATTTTTATTTAGTTTTTTAGTCAATCAAACATAGGAATGAATATTATGATGGAATGATCACCTCATTCCAATGAACAAAACAATACCTAAATATTCAAGCAATACTACAATTTAGGAAAATGACTACCTATTGGAGAGATAACACTAATGTTGTGTTTGGATCATGGATTTGTAATGGGATTAATGAAGGGAAAGGAAAAGTAAAAAGATAATGAAGTGAAGAAGCTGCATTTATTTCTTTGGTTTTCTATCATTTTCCTTTCCCTAATAAATTCCTACACAAATCCATGATCCAAACACAGCCCCATAGCAATTACAGTGATTTATAGATGGAAAAAGGTTAAGAAAGAAGAGGTTTTGACAACAGTAGCTCCCTGGGTCTATCAAAAACAGCTCCTTGAAATTTTCAGAAAAGCATTTCATTTAGCATTGGGGGAGTTTGAGTTCCAAATCTAAAAGGAAAGAGGTTTATGTAATAAAACAAGAGGATTTTTTTAAAAAAAAATAGAAAAACAATGAAAAAGAAGGGTAATAGTGGGTCACAGCAACAACAATCAAGTAAAAGAAAACAAAGAAAAAGAAAGAGAAAAACCTAGTTGGGGAAAAATGACTAAACAATCTTGACTTTTCATAAATAGAACACTCCAAATCTAATTTGTCTCAATCCCAATTCACTCTCCAACCAAGAAAGAATCAATCTCCCTCCAAGAGGCTTTTTTTTTTTTCAAATACTTTATATGTTTTTTTTTTTTTTTTTTGGGTTATTTACTGAATTTCATATATGAACCAAACCAAGAAAAAAAACTAAAACCCGGGCACACCCAGATCCAAACAACTCTTACTCCCTACTGAACAAGCTCATTCAATCTCCAAGAGGCTTGAGTGGAATTCCACATACATGTGTTTTACATGTCTATGAACATATATATATATATATATATACACTAATTTCTCTGTTAAATTATTAAAAACTACTACTTCATCTCACTGAAAAAAGGGGTTCATTGTTTCTTCTTCAGTAATCTCTTTTTGGTTCATCAGGGTTCGATTACAATCGATCGGCTTCAAATCCAAACAACAGGAACAAAATGGATCCATATGAACACAAACCCATAATAATTACATATATATAAATACATCTACATAGACTTGTAGGGTTTGAAATGTCACCTGATTCTCGGGAAATGGGATGGAAAGTGGATTTGCCGCTTTGAAAGAGAAGGGTGTGAGGGTTTTGGCTGCTTCTTTGTGGCGCGAATTAGTGGCGGGAAAATGAAGGATGGAAAATGGGTTTTAGGGTTTGGAGATCAAATTTTTGAATTTATAGGTAGAATAAAGGTTCGGACTCCCAGTGGCTGCTAGGTCCCTTTCCATTAGTCTAAAAAATAGGTTTTTTTTTTTTTTTAACCAACCCCAGGCTGATACGTGACAGTGAGGGAGTCATTAGATCTGTACCATTGCTGTTTATAAGTATCACTACTACTAATATTTATTAGGAGAAATTTTTTTTTTTGAAGATTTAATCTAAAAAATAAATTAAATTTTAACTTTTTATTATTTTGAACTTTTATTCTTTAAAATAGTACCAATTATAATCATTAATTGTATTAGCTAATTATGACTAACAAAAAAAAAAATTAAGAATTTAATCACTTTTTTTCAATGGTCACTTCACATTCTTACTTTGGTTTATCACCACTCTTATCTTTCCAATTCAATACACTGTCATTCGTATGCGGGGTAACATAAGCATGCAGTGACATGGTGTAATGTAACAACATTCACATAACATGCTCGATGGACTTAAATCAAAATAATTAGTGACCATAATACCAAAACAAAGGCATGAAGAACAAAGTAAATGCATGCACAATGCAAAGGCCCATTGACCAGGCATAAGAACACAACTCTCAAGAGTGCTCAAAGAGTGACAAATGTAAAAGTGTAACAACACTAAGTGCACTGAAATAAGGTAAGAAGTGATACCAAATCATTCAAACAACACAAGTATGGCATGCTAAGGTCCTTAAAGCGTAAGGCTAGTAAAGGGGACTACAAAGGGGGCATGCAATACATGGCACAAATTGTGACGCTCCGAATCTACACTATTGGTTGCAGTCAAGGGAGAGTCACTAATGGGTCCTATGGTCAATAACCACGTAAGATCCCATATCGCCGGATGAGTCAAATTAGCCTCCCTTCTAAGTCCGACTTTCTTAGACAACGCACTACCCTTTTGACAGATCTTAAAAGGTATTGACACAAGATTTCATAAGCAACGATAAGGTGTATACATATAAATATTAGAATATAAGTACAAAACAACCACGAATATTCTTAATTTCAAAAGCTTGCTTCATTACATTACATCCCAAAAAGAAAATTTAAATCTTCATATGAGTCTTACAAAATATCAAAAGGAATTTCTAACTTTCCTACGATAGCCAAAAGTCTTCGAAGGTTTCAAGCTCATCGTCTCCAGCTATAAGCTCCTATTCGGCACCTGACATGATACACCGTGAGTTTTGAATGTCCAGTAAACACACACACACCCCGTCCCTTTTTCCCAGTCCAATATACAATCACAAATATAACATCAAGTAGTAAAGCATGATACTCAACTAAATAAACAAAGGGTAACAAGTTAGATGTTAGTAAACTATAAATCTCCCAAAGAGACTTCACCCTCCCAACCACAAGAATCGGACGCGGATTATTCGGTAATCTGTTTTCAGTTCTATATTGGAAAATTAAGAATCAATTCTTTGTAGATTAGTTCCGGATTAGAGTTTACGCTCTCAAATTATAATCGATTCAGACTGTATATAACTTAAATCATATATATAATCATACTCTCTTATAATTGTTGTTGCCACCGACAAAATATTTGTTTGATGTGAGTTTTATATTTGCTACATGTTAAACAATATATTTATTTACTATATATTATATTTGTTTAAGTTAATAGCGAAACAATCTGCATGTTTATATTTTGAAAAATATTTTATAATTTTTCTTATGAACAGATTAAGTGAAATTATAGTTCCAAACTGAGTCGAACTGTGTTTAAATGGTTTAATTCAAATTAATTACATTATTTAAATGGATTGATTCGATTCTAAGGAACCGTAGATCATGCCCACGAGTAGTCATTCATTTATCCTTTTTACCGGTCCGTATCTCCTTAATTTTCTAGTAGGGCTGCAACTTGGGTGGGCTCAACCCAAGCAACTCATGCCCAGCCCGAGTTTTTTTAGGGCTTGGACAACAATATCTTGTAATCTGGACAGGCCTGGGCAAATTTTTGATGCCCGAATTGTAATTCGGACTGGGCCTGGGCAAAATCAGTGGCTAACCCAAGCAACCCAAACCCGAACCCGAATTGCATTTAATATATTATAGAAATTATATGATATATAAATTAAATTAAATAGATATCCTTAATATTTATTTTTTTTTTGACTGGCTTGAGTGTCCCATCCCAATGGCAATGGCTGACTCTATTTCTTAAGAGTGTGATATGTGTCTTTAACTCAAACAAGCTAGTGCCACCAGGCTCCATCAACTTCTTCAAACAGAGTAGGCACTCTAGAGGGCTTGTTTGGAGAAGCACCATTGCAGAAGCTATTTGTTGTCTAGTGCAATTCGGGCAATTTGAGCTAACCCAAGTTCAAATTATAAAGGTTGGTCCGGGCTTGGGCAGCCATGCTCGGGTTGATGGTTGGGCTTGGGCGGCTTGGGCACTGCCAAACACAATTCGGGTTGGACTTGGGTAAACCCTCAACCTGATCGAACCCGCCCGAGTTGCATCCCTATTTCCTAGTCCATAACCACTTTCTCGGTTCATGTTTCCTTCATTTCCTAGTCCATAACTACTATCGAGAATTTAAATTAAAATAATTAAAGAATTAGGATTTAAATTATTAGTAGAGTCAACTTGATTTTTATTTTTTTTTTGTAATTTTTTTGAATTTTTGTTTATATGAAGTGAAAGAAGTCAAATCTATTTATTTATTTTGGTTAGATTAAAAGAAAATATTAGAAAATAAATATGTAATTGTTAAAAAAAAATAAAATAATTTTTTGTTTGGTTACCAAAACAATGAATATGAAAAGTTGTGAAAATATTTCGAGGATGTAATGAAATTCAATACTAAACTCCAATCACATGACATTTTTGTTTTACACCAACACGATAGAATTATACGAGAGATTTCTTATTTTAGTTCCGTTTGGCACAAATTTGATAATCATGCCCAAAGAGTCAAAATAAAATCAATAAGTCGTTTTTTTTTATACATTGGAGGCCCTCATTCGAGGAAAGAATTTTGCCACATAATAAGATTTTGAACCATTGTTAAGTTATTAACAATACAATAAAGTAAACAAAAAAAAAAAAATTTAAAAATCTCTTAATCATGGAGGATTATCTACAATACCCCAAAAATTTCAAAATGACAAAATTCCAATCATGTTTGGTAAAACCAAAATTATAACAAAAAACTTGTTCCATTTCAGAAGTGCGAGTTTCCTTGGCAGTAAATTTTTTTTAAGAATTCAAATATAATTTACTAAAATTTAATGCGAGTTAAGTTTGACATGACAACATAAAAAAGGGGATCATAATGCTCATAGAAATATGTTTTTACATAATTAACATTTTATTGGATGTCTAATTTTTAGAAGATATGGTGTATCACGTTCATGTTTTCATTCAATCTATCAGAACATTTACGTTCTAGGTAACATAGCACTATACATTATTGATAACAATAAAAAAATATAATTCAAACTACTAATCATAATGCTATTCAAGGGTGTACACAAGAATCATAACTGATCTCAAAAGGAGATACACAACCCAAACCAGTTTCCTGCATATGCCGGCAATGTAATAACTTCAGTAGTTGCACCATCACCTTTTTCAATGCTATTATATCACAAGTTCAGATGCTGAAAGCGAGTCATGGTGATCATCCAAAAGAGACGAATGTTTTAGCTCCTTCAACTTCCCATCCTGTAGAAGGAAAACTCGTTTGGCCATCAGAACCGTCTGCAGACGATGAGCAATGACTAATACCTACATGGCAAAAATTGGAACTTACATAGAGTATGAAATCTGAGCAATTAGCGTTTAAAATGACTGTCATTTCAGTTCAACAGTCTGTTTCATGCATAACTAAACAACTGCAACAGTCATATTTGAGTGAAGCAATGTCATCTTCCTGATTCAGCTATTTCACATATGCTTTAGTTCTAATTTCCAAACAATTTAGAGTCAGAACAATATTTCACAGGTAAAATGTATGCAACAAATCTTTTTCATCCAAGATATTTAAAAAGATTTAAACACGAGGAGGGAAATAGATTAATGAATTGTCCTTACAGTACGATTTTCCATTAAGCGCTGCACGGCTTGTCTCACCAATAGCTCAGATCTGCTGTCCAGAGCAGAAGTTGCTTCATCCAAAATCAAAATCGATGAATTCTGATAGACTGCCCTTGCAATAGCTAGTCTGGAATTGCAAATGAAACAAAAATTAAACAGAAGCATAATTAAGATATAATGGAATTCTACACTGATCTAATACTAGATCCATCAAATGGAGACTAAACTGCGCATAGTTATCTACTACTAGATACATCCATTATAGACTAATCACCATTAACTTTTGCAATAATAATTTAAAAAAAAAGAAAAGAAATAGATTCTTGTAAAGCTTGGACCAGTTATCACAAAATTTATATCAATAGTAGAATTTAAATTCTGGACTTGATACCCCACCTTTGCTTCTGGCCTCCACTTAAACTTGAGCCCCTAGGACCAATATTGGTTTCATAATGTTTCGGAAATAATTCAATAAATTCATCAGCATTTGCTGTTCGTGCTGCAAGCTTAACCCTCTCCATGTCAATTTTTGTCATTAGATCTCTATATCCAATGTTTTCAGCAACTGTCCCTGAAAAAAGTGTCTGATAGAATACAGAAGTCAAAACATATTACTGGATGAAACCTTGCAAACACTTTGCACATAAAAACAATGGCTTCTTCAACATTTAACCTAAAGTCTTGTTTGACAGTGACCACAAGACTAATCCTATGACTAATGTCATGACCACTTGATTCTAAGTCTCTACTAATCACCTATTTGTTCAGAAAAAAAGTTGTTTTTTTTTTGTCAAAATTTTTAATCTTGAAGGGCCAAATTGTTTCTAAAGCAGTGCAAGACTCTTCGCTTAATGCTAGGACTAATGTCAAGAAAACCAATCCAATAGTCAAAAAGTAGTCGAGAGAATTATCTATACCCTTTTTATGGCCTTGATGGGTAAAAATTCAAAACTGACCATCCTTCAACCAAATGTGGAAGAAGTCTTTATCAAAATTATCAAGATCAAGTGCGATTTTTACTGGCTTACTCTATATTTCAATAGGATCTTTTAAATTTTCTAATGATAATGTTGAATTGAACCCAATTCAATTTATGAAATTCCAAATTGATGAATGGTCATTACTGCTAGAAGGACCTATGCGTTTCTCCCAACTACAGGCCAACAGGGTGACAATTGTGGTACTCAACCTTTCATGAATAATTTATTACCCATTCATTTCCAAACAATCACATGATTGAAAGTTATGCATGCATATAAAACACTTGAAAATATACATTCTAAATTTTGAATCTGATGATGAACTACAATGAACAGCTTCAATATGAAAACATACATACAGCCCATGTCCAAGTTCACAAACAAAAAATATGCAGAAATGACATCAGGTAGTTGACAATTTACTCACTGTATCCTGAGAGACCAGCCCAACATGGCTCCTCAAACTTTCCAACCGAATATTTTGGATTTTATGATTATCTATTAGTATACAACCTGTTAACATGGGACAAACAAAAGGTCACATAAAAATAATGAAAATAATCATAAACAAATTGTCAAATGTCAAAACAAATATGTCAGAACAAGGTTTATAATACAGATGACTCACCACACAAAGGATCATAAAGGCGAAGAAGCAGTTTCATAAGGGTTGTCTTTCCTCCTCCTGAGGGCCCAACAAAAGCAACTGTTTCTCCAGCTTTTATATGAAGGTCCAACCCATTTAATACAAGAGGCATATCCTCACCATATTTGAATGAGATGTCACGAAATATCACCTCACCGGTAACCCAGTCTAAATTAACAGCATCCAGTTTTTCAATCACCTAAATAAAATAACACAATAAGTGGCCAATTTTCGAAATCAAATCTCAACAGCACCAAAAAACAAAATTGCCTACACTTTCAAGTCAAAATAAACAAGACCACAAGAAAGTGAGACAAAAATATATCAAGTTTGTTTAAGTTGAATACCATCAATCAACATAATTGATGAATAAGGACTACTATAGAGGAGATACTGATCCAAAACCAAATAGCCATGCATATTGCCAGCTGTGAAACTCTAACCTTGAAATTTACATAGAATTCATAGATGCCATGAATTCTATGTAAATGAAGAGGTCGTTTTAGAACCAAGGCCTGAGAACTATGTGGAGAAGCACAAGCATTTAGAAAAATAAAAAATAAAAAATAAAACAAAAAACCTGAAAAAACACACAGCAACAAATTTTTGAAGGTGAAAGACCATGTAAGATCAAAAACCTCTCCATTGCTTCCAAGTCAGACAAATAGCTAGTTTTAAATATATGATGATGCCACTCTTCCAATAACCAGCAAATGGCATCTCAAATTAGGAAAGTGATCTACAAACAAAAAATCTATTCTATGCAGAATTTTATACCAGAACAATATCACAATGGCAATCTTGAAAAATCAAGTCATATTAATGGCAATGGCGGACGTAGGGGGTGGCTAGGGGGGACCTCGCATCCATCTGTATAAGCTCAACTAGTATATATAGATTTGTTATTAGATTTATAAGTTGTAAAGACTTGGCCCCTCCACCCAAGTCTCAACTTTGTCAATTTGTTTGAAGCATTGAGTTACGGTCATGCTATAATACATAATATATATCATATATAATTTTTGGTTTAAATTAATGTTAGTTACAAATTATTGTGGTATTTGGTTATAGGCCATTATGGTGATGGGGCTAACAAATTATAAAATCAAAATTAGTTACAACTCATTCTAATATTTTAATTATGTTTCAAAGTGGTATTCAATATGACTCGTTGGGGTGGTTTTGGTTATGACCAAAATGACCTTCAAGTATGGCTTTAATTAGTGTTAGTTACAACCCAACGTGATTGTAATCAATGTGAAATGTACTTATATGTTATTATGATCTTATATTTTGTATAAAGTGTAAAAGAAATTTATAATCCTATTTTGATAATTTTTGTTTTGTAAATGTCCATTGAATGAAAATATTATTTGCAAATTTAAGAATGATGTTTAAGTTGTATACTTATAAAATACCATATACGTGCAAAACACTTGTAAGAATGTGATAAAAATAAATTTTAAAGTCAATTTTTATTATACATTTGGCCCCCTCTTTACAAAATTTCTGCGTCCGCCATTGATTAATGAGCCTTTGTTTTTTAAGTGATAGGACCCAAGGGTTGCCACATCATTCTGGGTCAAAATTCTGTATAGATTTTTTGTTTGTACAGCACTACTCAAATTAATCGCTAACTTATCTACCTCTTCAAAGTGGATTATTCCACCTTCTTGTGAGTTTTTGTATTGTATTGATTTTTGAGTTTTTGGATCAAAGGGAAGGGTGCAGGTTCTTTGGAGTTGCGTGGTTCTTGTGGTTTTTTGGGTGTTATGGCTTGAAAGGAATGCTGGAATTTTTTAAGAACATTATGCTGACTTGGAAAGTATTTGGGAGAAAGTGGTTTATATGGCTTCCTTTTAGGCTTTGGCGGTGGCTCCCTCATTTAAAAGAATTCCTTCTTGTTCTTATTTCTAGGGATTGGATACCTATCTGTAATGAGTGAGGATTGGTGGCTTGTTTTCATCTTTTTTTGTTTTATCTTCTTGGTGGACTTCTTGTCCTCCCTCAGTTGTACTTCAACGTTTCTTTTGTTAAAATAATTTTCTTGTTGCTGATAATAAAATAAAATTAAAAAAAGAATGCATAGCTATCTTTCTGAATAAAATTTATATGATCAAAGAGGACATAAAAGGAAATTTTGCACAATCAAGGAATCTACTTAAGGCATAAAAGAATGAACCGGAATTCCACAACCCAAGTAAAGTGCAGCACACCCTGAACTCATCTGAGGAATGAATTGATGTCTCTAATACCTAAGGTTTACACTTCATTGCTCTGTTTTTATTTTTCATTTATCAACTGTCTATATTCAAGAGAATGCTTAGCCTAACCATATTTCATGAAAATTGAAAATAACCAAAGTCATATGAGGAATAACTTTGATGTCCCAAATACGTAAGGTTTACAGTTCATTGCTCTGTTTTTATTTTTCATTTATCGACTGTCTATATTCAAAAGAATGCCTAACCATATTTCTTAGAAACTGAAAATAACCAAAGTTGATTAAACCGAAAATTTACCTTAGATTGGAACCTGGTCAAATCAAACAAGCGTTCAATTGCTGGCTCTCCTTGTTTCAATTCATTGTATGCTTTTCCCACCCCCTGCGTGATTCTTCAAATTCAGATTGAAAAACAAGACAGCTCCTCAAAGGCTGAACCATAATGAGAAACAGAAAAGAACAATTAGAAAAAGGTATATGCATAGGTTATCAACAAAATATTAGATGACAATAAATTCCAGAACCATTTCCATCTTGTCAATAAAACAAAATAAACAAATTTAACCCAAATAAGCATTTAGTTTATGCATCTTCTTTTTTCATAAATCTCTGACTCAAATTGGAAATCACATCATATGAAAGGGTATTCTCATTCCATTGCAACAAAAATAAGAAAAACAAGACATAGGATGCTAGAGAAGTAGATCCACCACAGAAATAAGACTACTAATAGAGAATAGGGTGCCTGTTTGATTGACTTTACTAACTTGCCTAAACTTCACAAGATTCCAAAACCCATCCCAAGTTTCAATGTAGAAAATGTTTGAAAATCCTTTTCACCATATGTTTCATTATATCCCTCACATTGGCAATTGCATCGCACAAATGGGTCCTTTTTTCCCAACGTAAAAAAGATATAAAGAAAACATGTAGAAACCTCAATAAGAAGTTCTGAAATCACCTCCTCAAGGTCATATGTCATAACCTTGCATCTCTTCCACCCTTCCATGAACTAGTCATTTTAAGAGGCTGAAAAGATTGCTTAACATTGTATGCATTGATGTCAGCGGTAATTCAGACTTCTCAATCTAACAAACTAATAAAAGGGAAAGTTTTATCACATCGATACCACAAGAAAGCTTATTGGCATAGTCAAGAGCCACAACAAGTATTTCTCATAATAGAAATATATATATTTTTTTAGATAAATATTTCTCATAATAGAAATATATATATATATATTTTTTTTGATAAATATTTCTCATAATAGAAATTTGCTAGGACACAACACCAATGATGTTATTGTAGATAGATATGATTACCTGAATTGGCTCAATCAAGAAAACCAATGATGTTATAAAGGAAACCATGCCACAACAATCGAAAGAACCACCGAAAACCATCAGCGAACCAACACAAAATATCAATAATGCCCCAAAATATATTATTTGCACAATCTGAGGAATTAGTGCCTTCATTTTCCTCTTTTTCAAATGTTCAGATAGGTTGGCATCAGCTAGCCATCGAAACCTAGCACCCTCAGAGCGTTCTGCATTGTTAGCCTTCACAAAAAGAATCGATGGGAGGACCTATTACATAAAATGTAAAAGCTAATCAGCAAAATTAAATAAATCTTATGTGAGAGAGTTCGATAACTTCATCACACTTTAAAAGCAGACAGAAAAGACACTGACTGGAACTAGTACAAAATCAAGACAAGCAGATGATAAAAAATGAAAAGGAGGTTTTTGAAAGGGATAACAAATAGCATGTGAAAGAATTAAGGCAGGGAAAATCTTGCAAGAAAAGTAGACAAATGAAGGGAAACAGATCTGCAACCTCACTGATGGAGGGAAGAATCAGAAAAGATAATATGATCGGGGTCAAACCATACTCCCTCGCTAAAATTCATCCAGTCGAAGTAACTAAGAACTTCAAATTGAAGGCAAAATATGATTAAACCCGAAATTCCCGGCAAATGGCCAGTAGCCCTGTGTCGGGATATCTTATCAGTCTCTCCAGGAATGAAGGGAGGCTATCATTTCTTCTAATTATCAATAACCCTTGCAAACCCTTTTGAGCCTAACATGAGCTTCCTTTTCAAAACATACTCACTCCAACTCAGAGGGAGAAATGCACTGGAGTACTGATGTGTACCATGCACCAGGGAAAAACTGCCTTGGAGGCTAGAATATAAATAGGCCTCAGATTGGATCCGCATATGCTTGGTAAATAGAATAATCTTCTCCATTCAATAGATTGAAATAGAGAATGTTTGGTGAGCTAGGAAAGTGTAGAAGATTAAGCTTAACTGTTGAAGTACATTCCAACTCTGACGAACCTTACAGTAACAAGAAGGAATGCTTGCAAACGAAGATAGTGACGATCGCAAATGTCATAAAACTTAAAATTATCAGAAGAAAAGTAAACAGTGTTATTGCTTTGTAAAACAAAGTGAAGGATTGGGAAATAAAGCAAATACAGGGAAATCATGACAGACAGCTTTAACAAACCAAGGGCCATCTTTTCTTGGTCCACCAGAAGCTTGGGCATATCCAACTGGGACCTGGGGGGCGCATGGCAAGATCAAACTCTTCAACTGATGGTAAAAAGTGCATAAAGGCCTTGCACTTTCAACAATTAAGCATATCACCCCAGTCAAAGCGTATAATGTGAGATGATGAATGAATTAGGGATGGACCGAAAACAAAAGGTAGGGAGGCAACCAACGAGCTTAAAATAAATAGTAGCATCCATAGGCTAATTTTGCAAGAAATAATACCGGCTATTCATCTCTTGAGTAATAAATCAAAATATACCTCATTTAGGTAGGCTGACAGAGCAGCAATGCTAAGATTAGCCTTCTTTGATATCTTACGAAGCTTGTCACCAAGATATGCAGTGACAAAAGCCATCAATGGGATCACCTTCAAGTGCACAAGAGAAATTTGACATCCTTGAGTAACTACATGAACCAATAACTAAAGAATAGAGGAGAAGAATTTACTTAATTCATTCCTCACCAAGGCAGAAATCAATGAGAGAACAGGGCTTATAACCAGCATCTGAGTTGCCATTGCTGATAGCTGCAGAATACTAGGTACAATCGTCTGCCATATGAAGGGAAAAAAATTCAGATTCGAAATACCTATAAATAAATAAATATATTGACAAGCTTCTTTCACCTACCTAATAATCTGTAATAGAAGGCTGCCCATTTGGCAACTCATAGAAATTAGCTTTTTAGATTATTGGCTTAAAAAACTGAATAATGTGTAAAATTGTAAAAAGCATCTCCAACACACTACACATATGATTCCTATTAGCTAAAACTAGTATAACTCACTTTTTTCAACTCCAACATACTAAGCATATGGTTACGTATTTTGCCTTAACCTAAATTCATTAGCTAAATGTAGCTAGCCTTACAAGGCTTGGAAAAATGAAGGGACCTTATGATCCTGTCCTTCTATCTTTATTGTTGATGTGCCATTTCATAAAGTGAATAGTGTTGGGATGAATCTAAAATAAATAACAGGGTTGGTGTAGAAACATGAAAAAGTGGATCAGCGAATTAAAATGTTTACTTTGGATAGGCAAAATGTGTAATAGCATTGGAAATGCTCTAAGGACTTTTCAAACAGGCTCTCCAAATGAGGCCTGTTAGGCAAAATAGCTAGATCTTCCCACTTTTTGCAACTCCAACTGACTCTCTAATTAGTTACTTACGCATTTTGCCTCTTGTCAATTTGGTTTGGTACATTTGGCCAACTATTAAAGGGTAGCTAAATTTAGTCAACCAATGGAAAAATGCCACACCATCAAATAATGTTCAAGTTAGTTTTGATGGATAGCTAAAATAAAACGTAGTGTTGGAAAAATTTCAAAAAATGTAGGACACGACACGTGAGGGACACGCATGAAATATGTAATTTTATATATTTATTATATGTTATATATATGAATATATCATTAAAAAGATAATAAAAAATACAATATGATACTAATTCCTATAAATTTATATAGTTTTTGTTTTATTATTGTATCTTAAGTTGTTTTGTTCAAACTTATAATTAATTTCACATATGTCTAATCGTTAGACACTTGTATTTAAGCGATGGACACGTATGTCCTTCAAGTGTCCAAAGAGTGTCCAAGTCTTTAAAAAAATTTAAAAAATAGGACACGTTTTGAAGAGTGTCAAACACGTGTCCTGAGAGTGTCCAAAGAGTATCGGTGTCCGACACGAATACGACACGAATGCGTCACCTTCTTAGAAGTGTCCGTGCTTCTTAGGTTACGCATTTTGCCTCTTGTCAATTTGGTTTGGTACATTTGGCCAACTATTAAAGGGTAGCTAAATGTAGTCAACCAATGGAAAAATGCCACACCATCAAATAATGTTCAAGTTAGTTTTGATGGATAGCTAAAATAAAACGTAGTGTTGGAAAAAAGTAGCTAGGTAAATTGAATTTTTTTTTTTGGGTGTGTGTGTGTGTGTGTGTAAAATAACTTCTTTGCGTTGGAGTAGCTCTAAGAAATGAAAAGGCAGAAAATCTAAGTAGTTTTTGCTGTGTAAATATACAAAAATGTCCTCAGCTTTTTTCTTTAGGGCACTCAGGCCAGAGATTCATTTATGAAACTCTTGGCCCAAGCTTAAATCTTTTGGACCAAAAAGACATTATTTGTTCAAAACTTACCCATCTGTCTATCTATTCAAATGTATCATTAGTACATGTGTCACCTATATGTGCAACTATCTATTCAAATGTCCAACTATTTGTACACGTGACACCCATCTATTCAACTGTCTATTCAAATGTCCTATTATCTATACACGTGTCACCTATTTATCCAACTATTTGTTCAAATGTCCTACTATCCGCACACATATCACCTCTATCCAACTATTTGTTCAAATGTCCTACCATCCGCACACATATCACCTATCTGTCCACCTCACTGCCACCAGCAGCTGGTGGCAACTTTTCAACGCGTGTCCTTCTCACCAAAAAGATTAAACCTTCAACTTTAGGAATGGAGTTTTCACCAATTAATCATTTTCTCTAAGCAAACAAATAACAACAATACCAATTGACAACAATTTGACAGATAAAAGACCAATATTGACATGAAATACAGTTGTAAATTGTAGTGAATTTACATTGGAGAAAAGACTCACATCGAGGAGAGCGTAGATAGTATCAGCAACATCAGAAGCCTCGGCAGTGATCCGATACGCGATATCACCACCAGAAACACCACCACCACCTTCAAAAAACCCTAAATCCCTCTTCAAAACCCTCTCGAACACGAAAACCCTAATCTCAAACACCGCCTTCAACGCCGCGTCCCACAGAAACGCCTGTTGCCAGTAATTGGCCACCAACCTAACCATGGCCATAGCCCCAAGCAGCAGGGCCTCCTCTCTCAGCCTCACCGCATCAACCGCACTCATCACCGCAGAGAATTTCCCAATCTTAGGGACCATCAAGGAGAGAGAGTAGACTGAGACGGCGCTGCAGAGCCAGCCGGCGAGGATTGGCTTCCATTGGGATTGGACGTAGGGGGCGATGGAACCGAGGGAAGAGAGTGGTGGAGAGAGGCGGTTGGAGGGGGAGGGAGTGGTGTGGGATGCAGAGGATTGAATTGGAGAGGTGGGTTTGAGAGTGAGAGTTGGGTGGAGGTTGGTGGTGATGATGAAATGACATGATTTGGATTTGGGTTTGAAATTGAAATTGAAATGGAGGAGAGGATTGGAGGAGGAGGGAGATAGTTGAAGAAGTAGGGCCATTTTTGGAGAGGTGTAGGAGCAGAGAAAGCTTTCATTGTTTATTTAGAAAAGAGAGAGAAAGAAAGGTCAACTGCTCGGATGGGAAGGAAGTTATTCCGGAAAGTTAAAACTCATTTCATATTATCTATAAATAAATAAATAATTTGAACAATCTAATCCACTATTCCACTCATTTATAATTTTATTTGTTTTAAAAAGTTCAGGGAAAAAAATTAGATAAGATTGTGTTTGTCTCATGTTGTCCTCCCTTTGTTTGGAAAAATTTAAGGAGAACAAATATAAAAGAAAGTTGATAAATTTACAGAATAAAATGACTTGTCTCCAAGTGAAAGTTCAATTGGACTAGACAGTTGAGGTATTTTACCTATCAAGTTTTTTAATTGTCTAATCCAATTGAAATATTTTATTAATTCTGAGCGTAAAAAAATTTTATTTATTAATTCTGATTGATAAGAGACGTCGGTCCAGTTGAAATTTCAACTAGATTTAAGTCATTCCCTTTACAAAAATAACTTTAGAATTTAACTGGGTAATAAATGAGATTCTGATGTATCTTGTTTCCAAACTCAACTTGGTCGATGCCTACCCTCCTTGAGTTTGCGGGGGGCTGTTAACATATCATATAAAATACTATAGTTGTAGCTGTAAAGAGACCCACTTCTGTAAAGAGCACCACTACCACACTACCTTCAGCTGTAAAGAGAGCTAACCAGCTGTAAAGAGAGCCAACCCATGTGCTAACCCATGTGCATTGTCTCCCTCTCCTCTCTATAAAAAGAGAGAATTCATTCTCTTGTAAGAAATATACAGATATACAATAACAGATAGTAACTTCACATTTCATTCCAGTCTCTCTCTTTTCTCTCTCTCATTACCAATTTAACAAATTTGAATCTTGACTTCTTAATTTTTTTACCGATTTAGCCCTATGTTGTTGACTTATTTGAAGGAGAAATTTTTTACAATGCACATGTTGGTCCCTTATTTTTTCAATTTAATTTTAATCTTAATTTTGAAGTTGATCACATCATATCAAAAGTTCCATTTATCACACTCTTGACATTCTTGGCCAATGCCATCTCCTTCCAAACAGCGAGTCAACAAACTCAGAAAAAAAACATACCAAGAATTTATTTAGAATGTGAAATCGATAGCAGAGATTCGTTTATGAACAAGAAAATTATTATTTTGGGTGATGCGTTTATGTTTGTTAGCTTCTTCCCAAGTATTGTATCGAATTGGATTTAAGTCATTTGACTTTTTCAAATTGATTTTTTTTTTTTTTTGCTTCCCTCCCTTTCTTGTAATGTTTTATTTATCTAATAAAATACTTCTTTGTCGAAAAAAAAAAAAAAAAAAACTTGAAAGTATTCAAATTTATGATCTTAGTATATAATATGAACTTGGTGAATACAGGTAACAAAGAAAAATAAAATTAGCTGAGCTTCATGCTTTGATACTTTCCACATAACCAAATATGGACATACCAATTACCAAGAAAAAATCAATACAAATAAATTTTAAAAAAAAATTAAACAAAATTGAAAAATAATATAAAATTTGTTGGGATTAATGGTATCGCATCGGGGAAGATTTCATTTTTCTTTTAATTTCTTGGTAATGGCAAAGATAGCACCAGCCACAGCCACAACAATCCCGGAAACAATAATGGTAGTCTTGAGGGTTTGCAATGCATCCTTCTTTTTCCTTTCTTTCTGTTTTTTAATTTCTGCAGCTTGTTCCTTCAAAAAAAAAAATAAATAAATAAAATTAAAAAAAAAGGAAAATTATCAGCAATATAAATAGCAACAAAATACCACAAGGAAAATGAACACACTATGAATTTTACAATTAATATTATTTTATATCTTGCATTTTTACTGTACATTCACATTTATTGTAAAAAACTTTTTACGGACGTGGAGAGATAAAGTCGTTAGGTTGAGGATCTGATAATTATTTGGTCTATGTTGGATATGAGATTACAAATATCCGAAAATTAGTCAGGATAAAGTAATAGACATGAATAAAGAGAGAAAAAAAAGCATGATTCTATTTAGTAGGCATTGTTAGAGGGATCGCTAACATTTGAAGACTAGTATGGAATTGATAGTCCCATAATATTACTAATATTCAAAATTTGTGGATTAATGATCTCGTGATACAATCAGTCACATAATTTCAACTAATGCAAAAATAACTTTTCACTTTTATACCATGTTATATGCTAATCTAATCATTATAATCTCATTCAATATCTTAAAGAGGACCAAAATCACTGTAATGTTAAAAATTTGTAAATGTACCTTGTACTCCTTTGAGGCAGCAACTTGGGTTGATATAGGATCAACCACAAAATTCTTGTTCTGGCCAGGATTCAATTCCTTGTCGATGTCGGCTGCCGGAAATTTCTTATCATTTGGAATTCCATTTGTTGCCTCCATTTTCTCGACTAGGAAAATCTTTACCTTCAATATGTTACTTCTTTCTTAATTTGTTGTTGTCAAAGGACTTGCTGTGAAAAGACAACACAAAGAGAGAGAGAGAGAGAGAGAGAGAGAGAGAGAGAGAGAGAGAGAGAGAGAACAGATCTATAAGCATGGTTTTCATGGAAATCATGAAGAAGAGGAGAGAATACACCACAAACACGTGTCAGCATACCCAGAAAGTTTACCATTTGGGTGAGAGTGAGAGATTGGCTGGCTCTTAACGACTTTCTTTTCTTTGCTTGCCAACTGTCCGGGAAAAGCTGTTGGATATAACTGACTTCGGACGTCTAAATGACCAAATAACCCTTGAAGGTTACCTTGTAGTAAGAGCTAGGTGTTGCTTAAACTTTGGATATTCTTTTTGTCATTTCATCTCTTAACTGTATGAGAGATGTTTTCTCTTCACTTTTGTATGTAATTCCTTACTTCGGGGAGAAAATAGAAGTATATATTCAAGAAAATGAGATCTTAAACATGTTGGACAATCTGTACTGTAATTAATTAATTCAGTTTGTGTACTTAACAATAAACAGAATATAAAAGAAATAAAGAAAATGAGAGAATTTGTTTGATTACAAAAATCAAACTTGAAATAAAAATAAATAAATAAAAACAGATTTTATTTTGTTACAAAAATAAAATTAAAATCTGATTTAAATAAATAATAATAACACTAAAAATAAATTAAATAACTTACTTGATTTATTTTCTTTGAATTATAATCTGATCAAGTCCAGTGTTTGACACTGTGTCCTTAAGACAGATTCGTCCTCTCCACGGTGCTTTCAGAATTTGGACGTCTATCTCCCAAGATGAAATGATCTACTACAAACAATAGTAGCACTACAAATTGTTTGCCTTATGTTGGTTTACAATTCAAACAGATAACAAAAATAGAAAGGGCCCTGTTTGGGTGTACAGTAAATCCGGACCAGTTTATTTTTGGAATTAATTTGAATTCTGGATTTTATTTT